GTGGAGGAATCTTTCAAGGACCTCTAGTTTACTGAGATATTTATCTCACCCCGTGTGGGGACATATTTCAGGTGCAGATACTAATGGGGATGGATCTTCCCTGGGTAAGAAGCCTAAGTAGGGGATGATGCCTATTGCATGCTGTTGTGTTATTTTGGAGAGCATAGATGTGAATGCATATTTTGGTGTAAACTTACGTACATTTGTTAGTGAACATGTATAGGATTTACACAATATATGTATTTGTGATGCTTTTGATGTAATCTTATAAATAACTATGTTGATATGTTATTTTAAGACATGATTTGTATAAAATAGCCAAGCAATGGATTGCTAGGCAAATGTTAGATTATGTTATGTATGTTTCTAGTTGATAACATGAATTTAAAGAATACATGTGTTAAGGTAAATTACCTATGATGCATACCAATGGATTGTATAAGTAATGGAGTTATCCCTTGGTACATGAGTTGGTTCATGGGGAAATAATTGAAATAGATGTTGTATTAAATTATCTATCAACTGCTTGAAAGTAATGGAAAAAACCTTGGTTGCTAAATATAGCAAGATGCTGCCAATTTTGCAACACAGGGCCTACTTGCTTAATGCATAATCCATCTCCTATTTGTCAAGAATCGTCCACGCCCTTATCAGGGATATCCTTTTCTTGATTAAGGTGATCCCAAGTAATATATGTTTAGTGTGGATTATCATTCCAAAATGGAGAATGAGATTGGCCTATTCATATAAATTTCCTATAAGATGAAAACATTAAATGAACATCACATGTCAAGCAAATCATGCAATTGATAAACTAACCTTCCCCTTGCTATTAGGGGTGTGCAAAATAACCAAAAAATTGAACCGAATCAAGAACCGAACTAAACTGCACTTAAAATAATCGATTTTTAAAAACCAATTTATGAACCGAACCGGTTTTTAAAGAACCGAACTGAATCATTTTCGAACCAACCCGATTTTTATTACTTTATTTCTTTGATTTTTTAATTTTTTTCTTTTCAGAATAGGGTCGACCCGAACCGGTTCCAAGTCGAACAGAACCGTTTCCAACCAAACCGAACAAAATCGGTTTTAAACCGAACCAAATTATTTTTGCACCGAATCATTTAAACTAATTTGGTTCGATTTTTCGAAAAATTTGATTCAATTTGACCCATGCACACCCCTACTTGTTGTGGAATTTCACTAGCAAATCCAAAAGATAGAACTACAGAATTGAAATGAACACCAATCAGGATGGCATGCGAAACAATATTAACACCAAAAGTGCCCTTTTTACAATCAGATGAACTATGGTTACAGGTTTTATCTCTGTGTTCGTCTTCATTTTCACTGCTCTAATCACTATCAATGTTCCATACGTCACCTCCATCTTCATCTTCAACTGATGTATTCGGCCAACGAAATGGTCTAGCATCAGACAATGACTCATATTTCTCATTATTACAAGAAAATGGCTGTGAAATACTAATATTGAGTGATGACCTCAGTAACAGATAACTATCAACAAAGTCAATTTCAGCATACAACTTAAGCACCTTCATTTAATATTTTTGCTGCTTGAACACACAGAATTTCAGCTCAAGATCATCATCGTTGGAAACTTCTCAACTAGTGAATTTTTCTTACAAAAGAAATATGCTTGTCAAACAAGAAATAGTCTGGTTTGCTTGAAGCTTAAATTTCCTAACAAATTTTCTCTTTAGACTCTCCAAGCTCATATCGCATTGTGCCTTTATTCTTTTTTTTTTTACATTCAAACATAATTCTTATTACACTTTCATACTTTCTGTCATTGTAATAAATGATAACAATCATTTCATTTTCAATTAAGATAAATAGGTAAGGTCGGGTTGTGCAAAATAATTGAATCAAATCGAATTATGTTTTTTTAAACCAATTTTAAGAACTGAATTGGTTTTGTAAACCAGTTCAAAAAATTGAATTGAATCAAAAGAACTAATTCAGAATCAGTTTTCATACACGAACTAGTTTTGAAATATGAATCGATTTCGAACTAATTTTGAACCAATTATAATCTAGTTCTGAATTGGTTCGAGAAAATACAAGCAATTCAGAATAAAAAAAAATAGTTTAATTCTCTGAACTAAACTAATTTGACCAATTCGGTTCAATTTAGAGAATAAAAACCAATTTAGATCAACATGAACACCCTTAGGTAGGGAATTTAAGAGAGTGGAGTGATTATGGAAAAATTTTAGAAAGGTTGAGTGAGAGAAATGATATTGATTATGTGAGTGTAGTGGGTTGGGATATTTTTAAGGAGGTGAGCGGAAAAAGAGATTAATATTGTGCACGTGGTGAAATATGAAAAATGCAACACGAAGTGCATCCTATATTTTTTTTAAAAAAGAGCTAAATTGTAACTTTTTTTAACAAAAAAATAAACGGAATGCAAATGATACGTATGAAAGATGTATATTGAAAAATATTTTCCACATTTGCACATTTAAAAAAAAAAGACCGAAATCAGGTAATGAAACATTTCTCCCTTTAAAAGTAGGCATTATCTCACATCCATGATATCAAAACCTCCTACTAGCTTTCAATATGCCTTTGGCCTATGCACATTGCTAAGAAACCAATATTCTTTCTTGGGAGTTTCACCACCAATGCATTATGCTATGCTTCAGAGGCTTTACTAAATACCATATCATGAATATAACACTTTGGGAGTAGGCAATTCCCCCTTTGCGTTCGGTTTTGAATAACTTATTGCCCATTAAATCTACCTTTTTCCTTGTGAATGAATGAGTCTCTTGCCGATTTTCTTTGTCCTTGAATAAAACCTTGGTTCCCTCCCCCTTCACCCCATTGAATGGGTTTGTTTGAGTGATTTCTTCATTGAAAAAATCATGGGCACAACCACTAAACATAAATCTCTCTTGATATTTATGCTTTAATTTGCATTTGGTAGTAATCATTGATATTTTCTTTAGAAAAACCTAAGTTAATTTTAATTTATTATTATTAGTGTTTAGTGTTTCTCCTATCACAAGAAATAAAATTATCTTCTACAATCCCAAAATGATGTAGCTTTGGGGTTGAGCAAATATGCAAGCATTTTGAAAAAATTCATGTTACAAGAGAGAAGCAAAATTTTCAAAATATCCTATCTTTTTTATTCTAAACTTCAAAATAATATTGTTTTAAAGTTATAAGAATTTTTTTTTATCTCTTAACAAATATTTTTCCTTATTATTATTATTATTACATTTTTTATTTCAAATACTATTTTTCAGTTTTTGAATATTATAACTAACCTCAATGCTTGCAAAGTTTTCAATTTATAATTTGTACATAAAATTATTCTTGAATGATATATAGAAAATTATATTCTGACTTACTTCATATTTCTACTCAAACCCTCAACTATCTCACCATGTAAATAAAATTAAGATAAATACAAATATAATTTTTCTGTGAATGTATTTTCTTTAGTACATTACATTTATTGATGATATGATTAGATTATAATTCGCAAACCATGACTTTACCTAATGAAAAAATAACTTTTTCCCCCTTCTAATCAAACTAGAATTTAATACCTAAAGTTATATATATTTAAACATAACCTAATTGTAATGGAGGGAAGATATTCATATTACCACTTTTTTCTACTAGTAATACACTACCACTCTAATATAATTATATACTCTGAAGAGTATATTAAAAATTATTTTTCTTTTCTCTCTCTTTAGAAATTTTTTAAAGATTATCGGCTAAAAAGTGGGATCTAACCGTAATTAGAGCAGTAATAAAAATAATTGATAGTAAGAATATCTTATCTCATTGTGATGTTGACAAGTTTGCAATTAAAACTCAATTTGTGTGTAGAAACTGTAATCCAAACACAGTATAAGTTTTCATTAAAAAAAAAAACTACTATAGTTGTCAAATTAAACACTATAAAAAAATCGAAAATCTCAATAATATTATATTTTTCGAAAAACTTCAATTTCACCCATTTCGGTTACAACAGTTATCACTTTGCCCTCCGTGATTTCAAACTTATCACTCAAATTCATTGTGGTTTTAGAAAGTATTATTTAGCTCCTTAAATGTCTAAAATATTTTTATTATATAAAATATCAATAATACCCTGAATAAATGAAATTCTAAATTATATTTAAAATGTCAAAAATATTCCTAACTAAAAAAGAAATTCTGATTAAAAATCCTTAGAAATCCTAATCCAAAAATAATCCATTAAAATCCTTTGAAATCTCAATTCAATACATCCCTTAACCATTTTACTTAATTCGATATCTTTCTTAACTTTTTCTTTACGTGAAGGAGTTGATGTATGTTCTTTGATGTTGGAGTCCCGTTAAATCGAATAAAGTAAAAGAGTTAAGATTAAAAGTAGGTATTTTTAATCAAAATTTCCTTTTAAATTAGAGATATTTTTGACATTTCAAATATAATTTAGAATTTTATTGATTAAAGGACATTAATTGATAACAAGGACATTTTAAACATTCAAATAATACAATTTATTCACCACGGGTCCGAGTGACAAATTTGAAATTACACGAGGCTAAGTGATTCACAATGAATGAAATTAAAGTTTTTTCTATATTTTATGGGATTAGTGTTAGTCTTTTTAAAGAAAATAAAATTGTGTGTAAAATAAATAAATAAATAATGGAAATTATTGGGAAAGAGAGTGAGATATTTTTTTTAATTTAATTTTAAATAAAAAATATTACTACTAAATAAAAGCACCGCATTTTGTACGTTGTGGCGATTCCAAGAAAATTCAAAGCTTTGAACACCTTCCTTCCGAATGTTACCGTTACACCAACGTCTCTTTCCATTTTTTTTTCTGTTTCATTCAAGATTTATAAACTTGAAGGTGAAAAAGTTGTGAATTTTATACGAGAAATCAATCAATTCTTCTCAAAGAATCAGAATCTCCATTACTCAACAATTTTCAGGTTCTTCAATCTTCTCTTGCTCTGCAAAAATCACCATGGCACTCAGACCCATTGATAACGCTCTTCCAACAACAACCCCAGATAGACCCAAAAAACAACCTAAGATCACTGTTTCAACCCAAAAACAACAAGATCGTGCTCAGAATGACGAAAACCAACTTCCATTGCCCTTATCTGTGGATGCCACCGTTGATTATATCTCCTCTGAAAACCTTAAACCCATATCAGACCCTGAAGCCAAGATCCAAGTAAGTTTTTCTTTTTCACATCCACTGCATAAAAATTCGATCTTTTTTCCCACCCTTCAATTCTTCTCTTCAGATTTTGGCATTGACTTCTTAAAATCTTTGAAATTGCAGAGTTTGATTCAAGATTTAGATTCAAAAAACTGGACCAAGGTCTGTGAGTCACTAAATGATGTTAGGCGCTTCGCATTGTACCACTCCTCTCTCCTATTCCCCATCTTGTAAGGGATATTTTCTGTTCTTTCTTTTTTTAATTTATTGATATTTTTGAAAAAAGCTTTTGAATTTTAGTTATGTGTGCAATTGGGTTTCGAGGAATTTATGATGTGAAGTTGTGACCAGGGGAAAACTTGTGTTGGTGGTGGCAAAGGCAATGAAGAATCCTCGCAGTGCTCTATGCAAAACCTCTATTATGGCTGCTTCTGATATTTTCAATGCCTTTGGTGACAAATTGTTGGATCCCTCTACCTCTGATGCATTTGATGGCTTGGTACTGTGGACTCAATTTCCTCTTTCTGTGATCTTTTTTTTCTTGGTGCATGGTTTTTGGTATAATATATATGATTCTATTGAGTAATGGGTTGGATTATGTTGTTTGGTTAAATTTCAATAGCTGTTCCAGCTGCTACTGAAATCATCACAGGATAAAAAGTTTGTGTGTGAAGAAGCTGATAGGGCACTTGGATCAATGGTGGGATCCATGACCCCTCTTCCCTTACTTCATAAACTAAGGGCATATGTTAGTCACAACAACCTCAGGATTAGGGCTAAAGCTGCTGTGTCTCTTTCCAACTGTGTCTCCAAGATGGTAAAAATTGGAACACTATTGAACTTTGATGTCTTTCTTTTGATGGGGTTTATGTTTATGTATGGATTGTTCTAAGGTATGTGTGTACACATGCATGGTGGCAGGGACTTGAAGAAATGGAAGAGTCTGGGTTGGGAGAGTTGATTGAAGTGGCAGTTGATTTGTTGAATGATAGACTTCAAGAGGCAAGAGATGCAGCACGAAGCATTGCAACTTCACTGTATGAGGCACTCACAAAGGATGTGGAACAGAAGATGGAGGTGTGGCAGAGCTTTTGCCAATCCAAGTTACCACCAATTCATGCTCTTTCAATTTTGAAGATAGTTAAAGCTTAGAAATTGGAGGAGAATTTCTGTTGTAATCTCAAGTTATGTCTGAGAGTTTAGAAATTTAGCTGTGTTTAAATGCTCATGATTCTTCATGAGTAGCAGTGTTGAAATAACATTTCATATAATGATTTCATCCTTGTTATGCAAATATTTAATCCTACAATTTTAATATGATATAAAGTTGTCTTTTCCGTACGATTCAGATAATGTTTTTATGTAACAAAATTTATCTACGTATGATCTAAATATATTTTTCCCAATAATTAAAAAATAAGAGAGGTTATAGTTACTATCTTTTTTTCTTACTACCTCTTATTACTAAATCTTAACCGTGAATTTTCGTCAATCTTATTGAAAATTAATAATTAGAGTAAAGACCCTTTTTGATCCCTAACAAAAAACTCGGCCCCACTTTAGTCCCTTACAAAAATAAAGTAGTCAGTTAGTCCTTAACAAATTCAAAATAGACCCATTTTAGTCCTTTTAGAAACTAATATGGGTCTTTTTTGAATTTGTAAGGGACCACGATTTCAACTAAATGGATCACTTTGAATTTGTTAGAGACTAAAATGGGAACCGTGTTTTTTGTTAGGGACTAATTTACTTTAGTCCCTTACAAAAATAAATTAGTCAGTTAGTCCTTAACAAATTCAAAATGGACCCATTTTAGTCCTTTTAGGAACTAATATGGGTCTTTTTTGAATTTGTGAGAGACCACGATTTCAACTAAATGGATCCACTTTGAATTTGTTAGGGACTAACTGACTAATTTATTTTTGTAAAGGACTAAAATGGGGACCGTGTTTTTTGTTAGGGACTAAAAAGGATATTTACTCTAATAATTAACTAATAAGTATGACCTAATAAATTATAACCGTTAGATTAACGGAAATCAACGATTAAGATTTAGTAGTAAGAGATAATAAGAAAAAGAGGTAGTAACTATAACCTATCCCTTTAAAAATTAATATACTTTTCATTTGGTGGACTTATCGGATAAGGATAGGATATGATATGGAGCTGATAAAGGTAGGATATGATATGGGGCTGATAAGTCTATATCATGTCCTGTGTTTGATGAGCACCTGATTAGCAACCTGCTAAGATTATGTAGAAAGAGAAAGGAGAAAGAAAAAATAAAATATAATGCAATAAATACAAATATATTGGATAGCGTGAGGATATATTGGGAATCCAATATTGGTATCCTATCTTGTTGAATCCTAACCCAGCTCCCCCCATAGGATAAGAAATCATGTATTGGATAGGATAAAATGAGACAATAGGATAAACTAATCATATTCTATTGACCCACCAAATAAAAGATAAAAGTATGATATGATAAGTTATCTTATCCTATCTTCTTTATCTGGTGCTCCAAACAAGCCCTTAGTGTAAAGTTGTACCTCTTATATGCTTTAAATTAATATCATTTCATGTAAAGTTTTAAAATTAATACTACTGTGTAATACAAATAGTTATTATTATGATTTAAAAATTAATACGTTTCCATGTAAAAGTTTTACCTACGTATGATATAAATATTTATCCATATGATTTAAAAATTAATATGCTATAAAGAAATTTTCATCCACTTAATATAAATATTTAAGATTTAAATATTAATATGATTTCGTATAAAGTTTGGACTCCTGTGTAATGAAATATTTAGTCTTATAAATATTTAATTAAAGAATGTACAACTTCATTAAATTTAAAAGTGCAACCTTTTCAATTTCTTTAAGTTAAAGAAGTATTAAGTAAATTTAATTTCTATTTTTTATATTTTTAATATAAAACTTGGTTCGGGCAGAAAATAATTTATAATCCACATCCCTCCTGATGATTGAAATGAAAGTTCGCAAGCTAATCTGCACAATCAGTATTTAGTATTTATTCATTTAACAAAAGATAAATTTTTATATTTAAATGTTTAGTAAAGAATATTTAGATTTTTTTCATAAATTATTGCACCCAAAACATGGATTTGTTTGAAGATTGAAGAATATATAACAATAATACCTTGTAATTTATTATAATTAAAAAATTAAAAAAATTAAAAAACCCTATACAAAATATTTAAGCATTAAGAGGATTTGCCTATTTTAATAAGAAAATAAACATTTGAATTAAAATATGCATACATATACATATACATATTTTAATTTCATTTTATTTCTTATATTAAACGTTGGAAACTTTTATTGTGAACTTTCTGTTCCTATATTATTATCCACTACCCCACTCTTCACCGTACATTCGCAAATCCCTTGAGTGCAAATTATGATTTTCTGCGTCAAAATCAGTTTTCTGTGTGTTAATTTTTGCATATCATAAATTTGTATAAAACTAATTTGTCAACGAAAAAAATAAAAAATAAAAAATGGAGGGATGCATGCAGGTTCGATTTATCCGAATGATGTTTTTTGTTTTCCCTCACTGCACAAAGAAGATGGTGTAGCTTTGCTTGTATTGTGCTTGTTTTCCCAAGTCCCAACCATGTCCCTTTTCAAATCCTTCACTTCAAATTCCTCTGCTCTCAAACCAATGGAAACTACCATGGCTCTCTTCATTCAAACCTCTTCTTACAGGGTATCTACTTAACATTACTTAAATGCCTCAAGCATTGTGTTTTTAACCCACCCTGATGAACTCAATCAATACTACAATTCAAAATTGACTAGCACTTTTCTCATAATGGGTTGCCTTGCTTTTTGTAAAAAGTTTTGTTATTTTGGGTCTTGTTATTGAAATCGAATCGGTTCTGTTGTTGAGTCATGCATTGGGAGTGCTTGACTGGGCTTTGTCTTGTGTTGGTCATGTGCTTGATAAATTGTCAAAGAGAAAGTTGAAATGTTTGTTTGCTTTTACCGAACGTGCTTTTTTTGTGTTCTGTTTATAAAACTCTCTCTTGGATCTTTTAGTTTCGCCACAAAATGTAAAAAGGGAACTTTGGTCGTGTTTTATTGCTCTACTCTTGTTTCCAACGTGCTTTTATTTCACATTTTCAATAATACTTACAACTGTGATGAAAAGGACTTGAGATTCTCGAGAATGTTTTTAAAAATAAGTTGTAAAAATATTGGAGTATGGAGTTGGCCAACAGATTCTTCGTTTTATACTCTGTTGCACTTTCTTCCTTCATCTTTGTTTCTTGACAGTTGAAGACAAGTATGTAGTATATGAACCAAATAAATGTGGAAAACCTCTAGTTTCACATGGACTGAATTTTTTTTATCTGATGGTTTGGCGGATTAGTCTCTCTCCCTTCTATTTTAACCTGGAATACGACACGATTGTTCTGCTTGTGATAGATATGCTTTTTAATGTATTCAGGTGCTCTCGCGAACTGCTTGTTCAGCCTCCAGAAGAACTAGTTCTATTGGCTTGTTTTATTACCGGGGAATCTCATCAGCTAAAGTAGTATCTCTCTCAAACATGTCAAACTACTGTACTCATTCAAGGGATGATATTTTTTCTTCAAAACGAAGATCACGAGGGCCTGTTATGGCAGGAAAAAAGGCTGCAGAAGGTAGTGTATATGCTATCTGACATGTATTTTTCTTAATACTTTCTTCAAACCTATTATTGCTTGTCATCATAATCAAAGAGAGCAAGCATGTATCTCCATTGTTAGTTACATCACTTGCCTTAACTTAGGAATCAAGCAAGAAGATGGTAAATACAAGCACACAGTTGATCTTCCCAAGACAGAATTTGGTATGAGAGCAAATTCTTCTGTAAGGGAGCCCGAAATTCAGAAAATATGGGAGGAGAATCAAGTATTCAAAAAAGTTGTTGACAAAAATAGTGGAGTAAGTTTTGGACTTCCCTTCAGCTTCACCCTGGCAGTTATTTGAACTTACTAATGTACTTCAAACAAAATGATCAGGGAAGTTTCATTCTTCATGATGGTCCTCCATATGCCAACGGTGATCTTCACATTGGCCATGCCTTAAATAAAATTTTGAAGGATATTATAAATCGTTATAAGGTATATTTTCCTTCGTCTGAACAGAGACTTCAAGTTTATTGCTATCACATGCATGCTCTAACGATTTATGTTGTAATGCTAATGCACCTGCATTTAAGAACTTATATTTTGCTGAGATTTTTATTTTTATTTTTATTTTTTTGGTGGGCAGCTCTTTCAAAACTATAAAGTTCATTTTGTGCCTGGATGGGATTGTCATGGCCTACCCATTGAATTAAAAGGCAAGTGTTATTTTTCCATGATGATGGCTGGTTCTAATTTGTGGTTGAGTTGAAGAACAGTATTGCACTAAAACTTCCTTTACATGCTTCCTGCATGTCAAACTTGAAGTGTATAGATAATTCTTGGTGTAATATTTATTAATAAATATGTTTTAAGGAGACACAAATGTTGATATATATTTGTAGATGATTTTGAAGTGAACCTATTTTCACCTTTTTGTTTTTTAATTTTTTGGCTGAATCAATTAGTGTGTATGAGTACATATAAGTATGAGTACATATAAATGAAATATATTAGTTCATAAGTTTTTATTTGCAATTCAAAACTTTTGGTTGACATTCTTTTTTCCAATATCTTTGAGAATTCTTATGTGCCTTTTATCTCTTAGGGAGGGGTTGGTGTTGGTACGATAGTTATGTATCAAGGTTAAATTGGTGTGTCCCGAGCTTTTTGGGCTGGTGTTAGAGAAGGAATAGAGATAGAGTTGTACAATTTTTGCTAGTGTGCGTTTTTTTTAAAAGGAGTAATAAATTACATAGACCCCTTGAGGTGTGAAGAAATGACAAACACATCTCTTTTTAAAAAAATAACATATACTTCCCTTATTTTATATTTTTACATACCCCCTTCTATTAAGTTGTTGATTGCAGACAACATACTAAAAAATATGATTTGACATTTAATTTTAATCTATATAAATAATATAATTCTAAAACAACCTTTTCTTTTACAATCAATGACTATAATATTCAAGACTCCACTTTTTCTTGGACTTTCCACTTTTTTTGGTCTCTTAGATGATAGTGAATTCTCTGAATTGGAGAGTCCCTTGGGTCTCCTTGATTATGTCCTCTTGTCCTCCAGCCTGGCTAAAAGGTTTTTCTCTCTTGACCATTTTGGGGTCTTTTCGTGCAATTGTTACTTTCAATTCCTAACTAATACGTTGAATACAGTAGGAAGTCCAACTCTCCTCATAAGGTTATTGTTAGTGTTGAGATATATAAAATCATTAATGTAACCTCACCCAATAGCTTAAATTTTTGGGTTGAATTGGTTCTTTACATGGTATCAGAGTCTCGTGTCCCGGGTTCGATCCTCGCCGCTCCCTACTTTCTTTCAAGTGGAATTTCTTTGTTCGCACAGGTAGGTGGGCCTGTGCATTGTCCACACTTCAAGCCCAGTGGGCTCTCGTGTGAGGGGGCGTGTTGAGATATATAAAATCATTAATGTAACCTCACCCAATAGCTTAAGCTTTTGGGTTGAATTGGTTCTTTACAGTTAGAATATATGAAAAATATCTCACAATATCTTAATTTTATCTTAGAATAGTTTAGAGTATTTATGTGATCTCTCAGGAATAATTTTGTTATTCTTTGATATTCATTGATTTATTTTCTTATTTAATTAGGATTTTGAGCCCAATATTGATATGAGTAGGGATTAGTGCTTTGTAGCTTGTATCACATCATAGCACATCAAATCAATATAAATTTCATATTATCCAATCTTTATTCTCTCTTTTCTTTCTCCCTTACCTAAATCCTTATAATTTCAACAGTTACGTCCTTTATTTGGACAACAATGCTTAATGGAATTAATACCAATGACATGTTACAAGTCGTAGGCTACATAAGGCTATTTCTCTTGATGTGTGTTATGTGTGGTGAGAGCTCAGAATCAGTTTCCCATCTGTTCTTACGTTGTTCTGTAGCTATTTTCTTATAGAATTCTTTTTTTTTTTTTGTAATAAATCTTATAGAATTCTTTGTTGGGCATTTCCTTATAGGTCCTTGGAACAGTTTGTGTTGACTAACTTTTGGCAATGTGCTATTTATGCTACTCGTAGTTGCATTTGGTTGGACTGTAATTCTCACATCTCTAAGGAGATTTCTTTGAATGAGAAGCTTCTTATGGGATAAAATTGGATGAGTGGCTTCCACTTGGTATAAAGCAAATGGTCTTCTAGAAGGGGTTTCTCTTACAGATATGTTGAGGGATTGTGTAACTCTGATTCATTGATGTCTTATTTGTTCTCTTACGCTTGTTCTCTTTCTCTAGGAGGATTTTTTATCCTCCAAAGTCTTTGTAATCATCTTCTCTTTGTCTTAAAGAATTTATTCTTTTATAAAATAAATAAATAAATGACTATAGAATAAATCCTATTCTAAACTTGGTAAACACTGGGATGAAATGAAAAACGACTGAGAGAAAGGAAATGCATTTGAACTCAGGCCTATTTCATAGACAGCTGATATATAAGAATTTTAAAGCAAAAAATTAATATTAAGTTTAATGCCACCTATCGTTCAGTTAATATAAGGGAGGCCTGTATTATTTTTTAAGCATTAACGGAGGCTTATGTAGTCTACCATACCTTGGGAGGTCAATAAAATTAAGAGGCATATGTTCTCCCCTTACTGTTGTCACTGTGTTAGCAATATGATTGAAATGATTATTTTCATCCTTCTGTATAGAGAGTGATTTATTCCATGATGAATAGACACAATTGATGCAATGATGAAACTCGGAAGTTCCCGATTTTCCTTGTGCTTTGCCCCCATTTTTATTCATTTGCTTTAACTATAAGTTCATATAGCTATTGTATTTCAGTTTGTATTTTTTATTAGATACTTTGAGCAGTATGATTGTTTTGAATTATTTCAGTTTTGCAGTCACTGGATCAGGAGGCTAGAAATAATCTTACACCATTGAAGTTGAGAGCAAAGGCTGCTAAATTTGCCAAAGAAACTGTTAAAAATCAGATGTCATCTTTTAAGGTCCTTCTTTGTTTGCACTTTGCTTTGTGATTTCTATGTCCTCGTATGGCATTAGTTTGTCTATTGTAGACATCTTACGATTAATATCACAGCTGTCTTTCCATTTTGATTGGTGGGAAAATGTTTGTATCTATTAGAAATATAATATACAAACCAATCCTTTTGGGAGAGTTGGTTCTTGACAGTATCTTAAACATGTTTTTTTTATTTTTTGGTAAAATGTGCCTTAAACATGTTACTACATGTTTGTAGCGCTTTGGAGTCTGGGCAGACTGGAATGATCCCTATCTTACTCTAGATCCGAACTATGAAGCTGTCCAGGTAGCTAGTACAGCCTTTCTCATTTACCCGTTCAGATTCAGCACTCTGGATGTCCTATGCATGATGTATTATAGATGTGAAAATTTACGGCTTTACTTTCACAGTCTGGATTATTGTGCTATGAAAACTCTAATACAATGATGGTCAACTGTAAAGCAAGACCTAGTTTGATTGCTATTATATAATGAAAACTCGTAAACTGCATTAGTAATGAAAATTTTCATTTGCACCTGACTTCATGCCATGCTGGTTGTTATTATATAGCCTTTATTATTGTATCTTATAATTTTCTAGATAGAAGTATTTGGTCAGATGGCCTTGAAAGGCTATATCTACAGAGGCAGAAAACCTGTCCACTGGAGTCCCTCATCGCAGACAGCACTTGCTGAGGCCGAGTTGGAGGTAAATTGATTAATCATTATGTTGAACCTCTTGTCTAATGTCTAGCATTAATGCATTAACTTGAATGAAGAAATACGTAAATGCTGAATATTATTTTTCTGAATTATATTGTACACGGGTTCAGTCTATTATATAGACCTAACTAAATAATTTCTTGCCTAAAATAATGACTAGTCTATGGAAACATAATATTTACAATAATTACAATGATAAACAGTGAATATTATGTGGTAAGCAACCGTAAAAGATGCGGGACTATTACAATACTTCCCCTCAAGCTCTTGCATGGATATCTATCATTCCTAACTTGCCAGTAAGATCTTGAAACCTCTCCATATGAAGTCCTTTAGTTAACACATCTTCTAGTTGCACCCCTGAAGAAACATATGTTGTGGTGATTAGGCCACTCTCATGTTTCTCCTTTATGAAGTGTCAGTCTATCTCAATGTTTAGTTTTGTCATGCTGGACTAGATCATGAGTAATGCTAATAGTGGATTTGTTGTCATAAAGCAATTTCATGGAGTTTCATACTTTATCTTAAAATCATCTAATATGATCTTCATTCATTGTAGCTCGCAAACTCCTTGTGTCATAGCTTGAAACTAAGTTTCTGTGTTTGAACAGGCGATAACATTTTGCTTCTTATTCCTCCATGTAACCATATTTTCATCCAAGAACATAAAGTAACCAGAATTTGACCTATTGTCAATAACTAATCCTGCACAGTCATTGTAACATCCCCAGCCTCGAGCCGGTTCAATTAACATACATATGATACTTAACAGAAACAGCGGAAGATTTAAACTTATGAAAATACGAGCTAACTTTTTCTTTTTCTCATTAGGCGTAAACAAAAATCGGACAGAGTAACCTCTGTAAGTCGGGCAACTAGGGATTTTCCAATCCCACTCTCAAGAGTTCCTGATAGGCAGTTTAAACTATATATGTATCCAGAAGTACCAGTCATGCAAATATACACAGATATCCATCTATGGGCGCATGCAGATTTTGGCTCTGTGCCACTAATCTAATAGCATGCAATCCAATACATAACATAACTGAATACTACATAGTCATATCAACATGCCTGAATACATAAATGTACATGCATCGAATATGAACACTATACAACAATACATCTTTTCCAAAAATACGTCTAAAATAAATAGTAGCCTCCAGCCACCCAGAACTCCACATCCTCATACTAGTACCTCTAGCCACGGTTTGTGTCCTTGTCCCATGAGGCTCTTCAATTAACTGTGTTCCTGAAATCATATCCCCAAACGGGGTTAGAGACGAATCTCTAGTAAACTTTAGGTTTATGGAAAACTCTCCATACCCTGGGCTCACTTCCTGCATGACAGTCAGATACATAATATACAAAACATCATATAAGCAATTATCATAACTGTACAAAGCATATATACATATCTTATCAAAGACATACGCAGTAATTCCCAAGGGATGACCCCAAGCGGAAATCAACATACGTAACAAATATCATTTACAAAAATCATCACAATACTCACATTAGAACAAAACGTGTTATATCAGAGACGTACGCAATCGTTCCCAAGGGATGACCCCAAGCGGAAATCAACGTACGTAACAAATATCATTTACAAAATCATCATACATATCACATAAAACGTGTCATATAATCAATTATCATAACTAGACAAAACATATACACATATCTTATCAGAGACGTACGCAGTTATTCCCAAGCGAAAATCAACGTACGTGTTCCCAAGGGAGGACCCCAAGCAGAACCAGAACATATCAGAGGCGTACGCAGTCATTCCCAAGGGAGGACCCCAAGCGGAAATCGACGCATGTGTTCCCAAGGGAGGACCCCAAGCGGAACCAGAACATATCAGAGGCGTACGCAGTCATTCCCAAGGGAGGGCCCCAAGCGGAAATCAACGCACGTGTTCCTAAGGGAGGACCCCAAGCGGAACCAGAACATATTAGAGGCGTACGCAGTCATTCCCAAGGGAGGGCCCCAAGCGGAAATCAACGCACGTGTTCCCAAGGGAGGACCCCAAGCGGAACCAGAACATATCAGAGGCGTACACCGTCAATCTCAGGGGAACCCAAGAAGACATCAGTGTACCATACAAGTCAATTCCAGCCAAAGATCAATACAGAAATCATATCAGAACAAGTTATATAACAAATGTGTACACAGTCAATCCCAGGGGAGGATCCCAAGTGGGAATCAGTGTACGTGTTCCCAAGGGTGGACCCCAAGCGGAACTCAACAAAACATATCATATTAACACATCAAAGTAAACACATCAAAACAAAACATATCATATTATCATATAGCTCTATATGAATGCATCTATATCATATATCTCATACATATCATACAACTCGACCACAGTCCGTACACTATGGCGGAACACAAGGTAGGAGCGAAACCCATAAACATAGAGCTTACCTTTTGAAGCTTTACCAATTTGCTCACTTGTAACACAAGTTACCTATTTAGCTCCAAAGGAATCCAAACACGCTCAGTCCCTAGGCACACCTAGAGAAAGAATTCAAAACAATATCAATAAAATGTTACAATGCCATAAAATTTATACAAGGCATACATCTTATTGCTCACTTTCGTTTCCTCACATTATGCCAATCCTATGCCAATTCACAAGTCAAAAACATGCCTTAATCATTTCCTTTAATTTAACATTCTATAATTTTTACAATTCCTAGCCTCCCTAAAGCCTGCCTATATGACCGAACCCAATACAAGAGGAGCTAGGGATTTCCAACTTCCTTTCATAACACAAGGTTCCTAAGTTGATTATGTATTCCCTTAACCAATTTAAGCACAACTTAGGTATATTTTCTTTCAAAAGGCCGTGGGGTTCACTTTAAGGCAATAAAAATACCTTTTACAATTTCTCAAATCATTTCACTAAATATTTTTACCAATTTCTTGCATTGGAAACTCAACACACCATCCAATTAGTTTTTAACATAATTATCCGTAAATAGACTCAAAAGGCCGAAATGCATAGGGTAGGTTTTCAAGGCATTTTCCACCATGTAATCTCACTTCCACATATAATCTCAACATACACCAACATACTAACCTCCACGTTACATGCAATTAAATTTTTGCACAACAAACCCTAATTAACCCATTATGGCCGAAATCTAAGTAGTGGCCTAGGGAATTTTTTTTCAATTTTCCAACTCATCATCATGCTTGCTTGACACTATATCATCATAAGATACACTAATACTTCATATATTTCAAGTTTTCATTTCATAAATTCTACACAAAATATGCTCATAATATTCAAAACTTAAACCATGGAAATACAGATTTCTCACCTCTAATCCCTTATACAAAGCCTAAAGGACAACCTCCAAACAAAACTTCATCAAAACTCCAATTTCTTCTCTTTGATGAATAGTGATTCGCAAAGGGGGAAGGGGAGAACTTTTTACTCAGGCATTTTTAGCCTAAAATAAGTGGTGGGATGGATTCATTGGATGATTTACTATAAATTTCATGTAATGGACTTAAGGATTTGGTTGAGTGTGGAGGGAGAAATCAAAGAAAAAAAAGAAAAGGAACCTAGCATTCTTGGAGACGGACGCGTACGTAGGACGAAGAAGAAATGAACGAGGTTACTGTGTTTTAGAGTCAAATAGGTTAAGTTACTTTAACCGGGTAATAGCTTATCTATCTACACACCTCCGTTCAATACCAAACTTTATCCAATGAACTAGAATATTTTTCCAGTCATATTTCTAATTTTACTTTCACTTTTCGGGTAACTTTGCTTACCTGCATTTTTACCCCTTAACTATTATTTTAACTCCTTTTTCACCAAAGGTGACTTTATTTCTTTTACTTCTAATTATTCTTCAATATTAAATCCACAACTACTAGTGAGGGTTATTATAGTCATCATTTGTATTCAACATTTGTATATACTTCCATGGACAGATTTCCAACCCTCTTGAATAAAATTCTCTGCCAAGTCTAGCTTTAAGATACTTTATGATCCTTTCCCCTAATTGTTGGTGTCTTACTCTCAGGTCATGCATGAACTAGCTAGTGACACTAACATCATATGCTACATTTGGTCTCATATGTGTTGGGTATATCAACATACCTACTAACCTCTGATGTTGAGCTTTATAACCTTTAGGATTGTCTTTATTATTTCCCTTTCTGTGGTTTTGCTCAATAGGTACACCGCTAGTCTTGCAATTTAGCTTCCAGGTTTTCCTAAGGGGGGCATTTGGTAGAGGAGAAAAAAAAATTTATTTGAGAATCACGATTTCCAGGAATATGATGGGAAGATGAGTTTTCTAAGAATGTTACCAAAAAGGTGTTTGGTAGACTAAAATATTCTCGGGAATATTGGCTTAATTTTCTTAATGCTATGTTTAGTTGTATTAAATTTTTTCTTACCATAGAAATTCTAAAATACCACCCCCTGGATGGTATTTTCAAAAAGATTTATACACAAAATAAAATCCCGGGAAAATTAGATTCCTGGGAAAATTTTAAAAAACTTGTACCAAACATGGATAAATATAATTACCACTCTCAATTTCCCGGGAATCCTAAAAAATATCTAGTACCAAAGGGCCCCAAAATGATAGATCAAGGAGACACTTCCTTTGAGAAATAAAGGTACCTTGTTTAGAGTAAGCAATTTCAATCCCAAGGAAGTATTTGAGCCTTCCAAGACCATTCATCTCACATTTAGCTGCTAATTCTTCCTTTGGACATTGTTTCTCTACGAAATCATCACGATGTCATCAACATACACAAGTAAAACAGTGTGTTTACCTTCCTCCTTTCCAGAAAAGAGTGTGATCATCTTGACACTACTGTATTCCAAGAATACCATTACCTTGTGAATCTTCCAAACCATGCATGGAGAGATTGTTTCAGTCTATATAAGGCCTTTTTTGAACTTACATACCTTATTATCTGCATTTCTGTGTACATACTATGTCAATGCTTGCAATTTTCTCTCTAAAACCTGATTTGGTGGAGGTTATAATATTTAAGTTACCACCTATTTGGTTTCTATGTAGTACCCTGAAGGGCATGTGTCAAGGAGCATATATGCCATTTTTAGAGTTGTGAGTGCTCCTCTAATGCCAAGTGGCCTGCTACAAGAATTTCCAAATTTGTGCTTGGCCATATGGACTACAACTCCCTGGACTATTCCTGCCAATGCAGGTAGGCTTCTCATTTTGTTGCATTTGCCACATTGGCTTATGACTTTTGGATATCTTTCATATTGCTTTTCCTAGTCATAATTGTCTCAATTTCTAATAATCTTGAATTCTGTATTTATGGTTCTTTAATCATGTAAAACGGAGCATTTGATATGGTGGTTCAGCTTTCTACTGTATCTGCTAGACCTAGCAGAGATTGTTTTGTGGCAATATATTTGTTTGTATCCTTCGAATGTATTTGGTACACAAAGATATAATTCATTATTCGTTAGTTATGAGTTTGCTGAAGTAGACTTCAGGCAAGGTGGTAGCTCCTTTTATGCTGGAAGTATTATTATTTATTTTATTCCTGAGTAAATACGGAAAAGAAGTGAAAAAAATGAAGAGAGAATGATACTATTTGAGTGCACATTTTTCTCTTCAGAAACATCATATCTGCATTTTGTGGATGATAATGTTATTGCTGGAGGACAAAACTAGTGAACTTTGTAGCAAAGTTAATTTTTTGTAGTCATTTAAATGTTTTGATTTATATATGTTACTCTTTCTCTTCTTTATTTTTTATTTTTTTACTGTTCTGTACTCAGCTGTTGCAGTAAACCCCAAGCTTGAATATGCTGTTGTTGAAGTAAAGCCATTAAATGAAAATGCCTCTTCATCTGGTGAAACTAGAAAGAAAAGGCTTGGAATTGTTTTAAAGGATGAAAAGAAGAAGTTTCTTATTGTAGCTTCAGAACTTGTGCCAAAGTTAGAGGCAAAATGGGGTGTGAAGCTTGTTGTCAAGAGAAGACAGTTGGGTTCCAACTTGGAAAACTACAGGTTGTTGGCAGTATGAAAATGAACAATTACTTTCTTCTTCTTTGCCGCCTTCTTTTTAATTCTGCTGCTGCTACTTGTTTCACTAAAATTGTGTTTTAAAAAAATCTTATTGTTAGAGAAATATAAAACCATTAATGTAGCTTCACCCAACAGCTTAAGTTTTTGGGTTGAATTGGTTCTTTACACTTATTATCTATGATAAATGGGGAAAATTTTGCACTAAGGGTATAATTTATTATTGTGGTCTCAGATACATCCATCCAGTAGATAATAGGGAATGTCCAGTCGTAATTGGGGGAGATTATATTACAACTGAAACAGGAACAGGACTGGTCCATACAGCTCCTGGACATGGTCAAGAAGATTATGTGACTGGTCAGAAGTATGGGCTACCCATACATTCTCCTGTAGATGAGAATGGAAAGTTCACTGAAGAAGCTGGTCAGTTTAGTGGGCTTGATGTTCTTGGTGAAGGTAACACTGCTGTTGTGAAATATTTGGATGAAAATCTGTCACTCATCATGGAAGAATCATATGGTAAGTTCTTTCTGTCTTGCATCATAAACTTCTGTTACTGTTCTTCCTATAATTTTAGACTCCATCAGCATATTTCTCTTCTCTGTTTTTTGATTTAGAACACAAGTACCCATACGATTGGCGAACTAAAAAACCAACAATATTTAGAGCAACAGAGCAATGGTTTGCATCGGTAGAGGGATTTCGCCAAGCTGCTATGGACGCTATTGGCCATGTAAAATGGGTTCCACCTCAGGTATTCTATTTAAAGTTTCTGTTGCTATGTAATTATGTTTATTTGTAAATTTTTGTTCACTTAAGAGATATGCCACTCTGCTGTACGTGAATTGCTTAGGGAGAAAATAGAATCTCAGCAATGACCTCTAGCCGCTCTGATTGGTGTATATCACGACAAAGGACATGGGGTGTCCCCATTCCAGTTTTTTATCATCTGCAGTCTAGAGAACCTCTTATGAATGAAGAGACAATAGGTCATATAAAATGTAAGTAAAAAAAAAAAAGCAGCAAAATTCCTTTTAACTTATTTCTCAACACTCAAGTTATGATCATGTACTATCTCAATTTTATTTTTTTATTTTTATTTTTGCTTTGATAGAAGTACTATCTTGATTATTAATAGATATATACAAGTATTATTTTCCTTATTTGAGTACATGTAGTGGTAAATATTACGAAGTCGCTTAATGCTTATGCTCTTTTAAGTTTTAACGCATGTTGTTCCTAGGAAATTTATACATCCTAATATTGATCTTTTGCTTTTCTTTCTGAGGCCTTCAGCTATAATAGCTGAAAAGGGTAGTGATGCATGGTGGTACATGAAAGTAGAGGAACTTCTTCCAACTAAATACCATGATAAAGCAGCAGAATATGAAAAGGGAACTGACACAATGGATGTATGGTTTGATTCAGGTACAACAGTGCTCTGGTGCCAAATAATATTTAACTTTCACTGATATATTGTTTCACAAGTTCATCAACCACCCTTTTTACGACTTTCCTACAAAGCGATAGTTCTATAGATATAGTATTACTATTACCTATTTCACGTTTTTGTCAGTGATAACTACTAGACATGTTTATTACAATTGAGATCTTATTTAGGTCCATGCCCATAATTAGGTAATGTATTTGTTTGGTAATATCCCTTTCTCTCGTTACTCTTTGGACTGCAGTGGTTTGAACCTAGGACCTTAACCCTACTCCCAACCCTCAGCTACCTAAGCTAATCCTGCTGGCTTGTATTTGTCCATTATTTTATTTCATCGGTTGCTTTCTTTGAGTTTGGTGTTTCTTGGCTGTTTGTTTATTTTTACTTCAGGATCCTCCTGGGCTGCTGTCTTAGGAGAAAGAGATTCCCTTAGCTTTCCTGCAGACTTGTATCTTGAAGGAACAGATCAGCATCGAGGGTGGTTTCAGAGTTCGTTGCTAACGAGTATAGCTACAAGAGGTAATAATTTTCTTGTCATCTTCACTATCACGGTTATCTTTAATACTCTTCATTTATCCCCTTTGTTTAATACTTTTCCCTAAAAAGAAACATTCTTTGTGTCACAAAATAGCAAGGCAAATATTTTTTACTAGATTTATATATTGTTCTTTAAAACATATTTATCTCATCTCAATGTTTAAAATCCTGACAACAAAAGGACAATAAGAAGAGGCTGTATTGTCATCTATATATGCTTAGTTTGCATGTGTCTCTATAATTACATGCAGATTACTTTAGCACTCGGTCTAAATATTCTGGATTTATTTTGAAAATGTTTGACTTCTATGATCGTACTGAAGCACTCTGAATTTATTAGCTGGTTACTCAAGTAGGTCCAGGTATTGGTCCAACTAACAGCCTTTAACTAGAATTGGCCAAACCTGGTGAAAATAATAAGGTGAATTGGCCCGGTTTCTGTGAACCAACCGGGACCTGAACCCTGATTCCTTGATAATGGCCCACAACTTACCACTAGGCTAAGAGTCATATCACGTAGTTTAGAATTATAGGAAATATAACCTGTGCCGTCTATTAACTCAATTGTCTTTTCCCCATGATCAAAATTTTAGCACTTTTTAACTGATATATTTTATTAACTAATCTATTAACTGATCTATCTTGTGTCATCTTCTTCCCTAAACTTTGCAAGGGTTTTTTATCATATAGAATTTCTCCAGTTTCAAGACAATTTGCGAAGTTCCTGTATTAAAGGAATAAATTTTCTTTTGATGTTTCTAAGAAGCAAGTAAAATAAAATATTATTCAAATTTCAAAAACAATTATAAAAAGTTAACAAGATAAATTACATTAATATAAGACCGGGTGTATGTGATGCACCGACACTTCAAAGTACCTGACGTGTCGTGTTTAACACTTCTCGACACTCCATGACACTCCAATACTCTCTGACACTCCAATATTCATTGCGTTGTATTTTTAGTTCCAACTATTAGATTCGCTGGATTACGATTACCATTTTATTGAGTTTAATATAAATATTTGTGATATTTTATGTTTCTTTACAAAATTGATTGGTATTATAAGTTTAGCTTCATTTTTTTGTTAAATTATTGAATATTAAATATAATATACACTACATAAATTAAAAATATTATTTAATATCAAAACGTGTCCTAACGTGTAGAAATCTAACATTTTTTAGAATTAACGTATTGGGGTGTTGCATCGTTTCCCGTATCCTGTGTCGGTGCAACATAGCCGAGTGTCACAATAGGTATTATAGCTGTACAGATAAATTTTCAGGAGTAATTATTAGAATAGTTTTTGCTGGTATATCTTTTGGAGGGAGGTTATATACTTACCACCATTTTTTCTTACCACTTCTTATCACCAAATCTGAACCGTTGATTTCCGTCAATCTAATGGTTATAATTTATTGGGTTACACTTATTTATTAATTATTAATTCCCAATATTTTATAATCCTTAGATTGATGGAAATCAACGGTTAAAATTTGGTGGTAAGAAAAAATGGTGGTAAGTATAACCTATCCCTATCTTTTATTCGTGAATAATTTTTGCTAAGTATACATCATGTGAATCCAAATGTCAATGGTGGTAAGTATAACCTATCCCTACCCTTAAAATTGGCATGATGCCCTATTTATCGAAATATCGCGGCTGAATCTACTTTTTATAAATAAATAAAAAGGAAAAAGAAAACACCTGCATGTGATATTGGGATATATCACAAATTTTGTAATATTACCTTATTACAGGAACTTCACAAATTTTGTCAGAAACTAGAGAAATTTTATATTGTAAAATACCCTTACAAAGTTTGGGGAAGAAAATGACACAAGGTAGTTGAAGTGTATTTTTGTAAAAAGAGTAAAATAGTCATATTAATTAGAAACTTTAACACTGTTAAAGAGGGACTTGGATGGAAAAAAGCACAGGGGAGGTAAATGATTAAAAAAAAAGCATAGAGGGGTAAGTGATTCAAAGGCAAACCATATGGGGGTATTTGAACTTTTCCCTTTTAACTAATAACCCCGAAGGCCCAACCATTCAAAAGCTAGGTGAATTTTAACGGGGAACAAATATGTGATCTCGTCTGGCATTTTGAATGGACAAACATTGCCGCTTATCATTGAGATCTTGAATTGATAACATGATATAGATCTTGGTTTTTTAAGCTCCAAAGAATAAGACTCAATTCAGTAATTCAAGCACATTTTCCAGCTCAAAATGTCATATGAGATCATGTTGATTTATGTTCCAGTTAACATATACCAAATTTTTTTATGTTTGGGGGGATATCGTTGAAAATTGAATAGATTAGAATGAACTTGCTAAACTTTTGAATTTGGGGGTAAAATGCAAATAGGGTGGGTAAGTTCAATTACCCTTTTAAACATTGATTAAAATATTTGTTTAGTGTTGTAAAATATAATGTAGTTTTGTAACTTATTTTTTAATTTGATAAATATATTATAAATATCAATTAACAAAAATATCAGCAAAGTAAAGGTTTAGGAATTATTAGAAATCAATTAAACATCAATTGTTTTCTTTGACCAGGTTTAACCCAGGTTGAAAGTTTGGCCCTTAAGCCTCATCCTTTTTCCATTCAATTATAGGTTCAGTTTTCAACTCAATCACGCAGTCCTTGCTATATTAGGAAACAGAGTGGATCCAATGGGCAAGATCTTAGAATGTCATTCTTTGCAGGATTACATTTTCCTTCATATTATAATCCAACGAGATGATACATGTGGATATAAAATTATAGATGCATTGTTACTTGTGTAAAAGGCTGTTTGGGTGTGAATGCCTTTAGATGTTTTACCAGTCAGACACTATAATTTGTCATTTTTGTCTTATACAGGAAAGGCTCCATATTCTTGTGTTATAACTCATGGATTTGTACTGGATGAGAAAGGCTCAAAGATGAGCAAGTCTTTGGGTAATGTTGTGGATCCACGTAGTGTGATTGAAGGAGGTAAAAATCAAAAGGTAAGTTGCGTAGATGTATTATATAAAATATTAGTTCTGGAACTGTATTAAACTCTATTATTTCCCTTTATCAAAGTTTTGGTTCAAAGATATTTTTTTCCTTGCCTGTTCTCAGGAAGCACCTGCATACGGAGCTGATGTCCTCCGACTCTGGGTTTCTAGTGTAGATTATACAGGTGATGTGATGATTGGCCCTCAGGTTCTCCGTCAAATGTCTGAGATTTACAGGAAGTTGCGAGGAACTGAGATACCTCTTGGCAAATCTTCATGATTGGAGAGTAAGTTCAAATTCTATGGCTGTAAGTTAAATCCTTTTTCCCTTGCCTGGAATCACAGCCTATTTTAAAATATTGGCAAATTTATCTATGCCTATCGATGCATATCTTTTTTCACTTCATACTTCTGAGTAAGTAATTGTTTTGCTGACAGACAGATTATACTGTTCCATACCATGAACTTCCCAGGATCGATCAGCATGCGCTGTTTCAGCTTGAAAATGTTGTAAAAAGCATTCAAGGGCATTATGAAAGTTACCAGTTTTTCAAAATATTTCAGGTAGTTTATTTTATATCCTAGAGAAACATTCCATACATACAAAATGTGTTCATGCTTATTATGCTTAATGCATGTGTGGGTATGGATGTGCATGGCAGATTTTCATTGATCTATCTGGCTGGCTTTGTGAGGTGACACTGGAATTTTTTTATGAGGCACAAATGTGCATCTCTTTGATTGTATTTTGATTTAGTAAAATTGAAAATGATCTTTGGGGCTGAAAAGGGGTCGTCTGAGGCATAGGATTCATCCTTTAAGTTTTTGTCTTTGTATAAAGACTTGAATCTGTTTTCTTAGCATGACAATTCAAGTAACTTGGCTGAATTATTCTCATCTAATTGTTTGATTTGCCAAAAACTACAGTGCATTTTTTCCCCATTCTCAGATTTTACAGAGGTTTGTCATTGTTGACCTTTCAAATTTCTATTTTGATGTTGCCAAAGATCGACTTTATGTTGGGTACGTTTCTCTGTAGTTTTCTCACTAGTTATATCTCTTATACCTCCATTGTGCATGTGTAAATACAATTATAGACAAATATTTCGATTTTGATGTACACAACAGCACAACTTCGCACTTGTATGGCAGCACAAGATATAGATGTTGCCTGTTTTGCATTTCATTCTCTATGTTTCTGTTTGATCCCATAAAACATCTCTTATGCTGATTTTTCTGCAGTGGATCAACAAGTTATACAAGGAGAAGTTGCCAAACAGTTCTTGCAGCTCATCTTCTTTCCATTGTGAGAGTAATAGCACCAATATTGCCCCATCTAGCTGAGGATGTGTGGCAGAATCTTCCTTTTCAGTACACAACTGAATCTGGTTCCTTTGTTGAATATGTATTTGAATCAAGTTGGCCCACTTTGAATGAAGGATGGCTTGCTCTCCCTGTTGAAGAAATTGAATTCTGGGAAAAAATTCTTGAGGTACACTCAAGTTTTAAGGGATAAGTTGATGCAATTTAATTCATTCATGAGAGAATTATAAGCAGCATTCTTCTAACCAAGGATATTAGGCTACAAATTTTCTTGGTTTCTCTCAGTGGATATTTTATTTTAGTAACCACAATTTAGCATCAATTTTTCGTTTGAACATTATATTATGATAAATTAGAGAATGGCTACGTAATCACTTAAAAATGATCAAAAAGTGCAATGATCTGTTTCAAAATCATCTTTGATTTACTTGATAAGACATGTCAAGAATTAACTCTCTTAAAAGCTTAAATTATTTGGTGGAGGCTCATGTATAATTTTATATGTCTAATATGCCCTTTGGACTTTGAAGTGCGGATAACAGACATACCTACTTTATATTGTACTGAAATTAATTTTCTTATTGAAATGTGCCAGCAAGGGTTGAAAATTCATGATCACTTGGTCATATAGGCTTTAATATAATATTAAGAACCAATTCTAAAAGCTTAAGCAATTAGTCTTTAGGTGAAGGCCTGGTTTTATGGAACATGTTCATGATTTGTAAATAAATTGCATTAGTAATTTGCTTTTTGTGAATGTAGAAATGATTAATTCTTAAGTCAGTAGCCTTTCTTAATTTGGAATTTTAAGATTTTCAAATGTACACGTAATGTAGAATGAATAAGGATGTGAAGATGTTGTACAGAAAATGAAAGAAACATTATTATTTTGTCATAAATGAGAAATTTAAATGCATTAAATGATTTCTTCTTCTTTAATCTTCATTTTTTAATTCTAATCAGATATCTCAAGTGTTATTTTTTCTCACTTTTTTTCCCCCCTTAATTTTCTCAATGCCTTTTTTATTGATTGGCTTGCAGATACTGCTAATATATATGGAGAAAAACTGAAGAGTGTAGCTTATAATTGATTATTTCTCAAATTCTCTAAAATGATTAAGTTAATAAATCACATATCAGATTTTTTGTGTTTTTTGGTGTATCTGTTACTCAATGAAAACATATTTTGTCAGCTGAGAACAGAGGTGAATAGAGTCTTGGAGGTTGCCCGAACTTGCAAACTAATTGGTGCCAGTTTAGATGCAAAGGTTCACATTTATACATCTGATGCCATCCTGGCTTCCCAACTATCCGAACTATGTGCAACCAAAATTGATGCTGATACGTTGCATCGGTTATTCATAACGTCTCAGGTATGTGTACAGCTACAAGTCCTTTTAGTTGACCTAAAAAATAATAATGAAAATTGAAGATACATTCTTTTAAGGGTTGCTGTGGGCAGCCAAAACTATTCCAAAGTATAGGATTTTGGGAGGATTAGAAGACTATTTAGGATACATCAGATTAGGATTCATGATTTGACTGAGCAATGCTTGCATATTAAGGCTTTAGTATGCAACAATGAATGACCAAGGTTTTGATAGTAATACTAATGACTTCCTTAAACCAAAAATGTGTTCTGTCAAAGTTAAGCAACAATAGTAAAGAAGAAAAACTTAAGGTCCTAAGCTTCAGGCCTTAGTTTGAGCTCTGGGATTTCAGAAAAAAAGCCACAACTAGAACTGAACCACAATGTAATATTTTTTTCCCAACCTAAAGTTCCTTATGGCTAGAAAAAGAAGAGGGAAGAGGAAAGAGTTAAAGATCAAATAAAAAATGCCAATAATGTGCTATTGCTTTGCTTCCTTCATTACTTTATCGTTTATGGTAAAAATAAATTTTACAAGACAAAAAAGGAGGAAAACTTCGACTGTCTTCACAATGTATGTATGACCTGAGTGATTTAATATTTTAGTTAACATTTTGCTATCTCTAATTCAACAATTTAGTATTTTTTTTTTTTTTTTATAACAACAATTTAGTATTTAGTTTAAATCTTTCATTCATTTAATTTGTAATTCATGTTTGCTACCTGTTTGTCAACATGGCTAGTTTAGATTCCAGAATTGGTTACTACTTTAAATTTTCCAAACAAAGACCATCAAAATGCTTGATTGAGGCTTCTAGATTAAGGCCAATCTGAGAAATGAGACATGGAATCTCTAGGTATCTAAGATTTGTAGTGCGATGCAACATTCAGGATATACTATAAATCAAGGGGAAGGATCCTTTCACAAACTTTTTTTACAATTTTTTTGCAAATTACATTATGTATTCCCGGAAGTACATAGTGTAACCTAGGTGACCATAGTACAGTGAAGTACACTAGGTTACACTATGTACTTCCGGGAGTACAGAGTGTAGTTTGTAAACAAAAAGTTTGTAAATATAACCTTCTTCATAAATCAATATTGTATTTTATCATCATGGTACATTCAATCTTCCCGACACTAAATTTTAAGCTTTTATTTTAGCCTTTTATAGTTGTATCCTGTGGATAACGTTGAGCCCAGGAGAACATATCACCATTTGTATTTCAGAATCCATCCAAAGGAAAAAAAAAGTTTTTCATCTTCTATGAGCTGAAACTTTTTTTGAGGCCATATAATAATTTTTTTTTTTTTTGTAAGTATATAATAAACTTTTCATCCCATTATTTAAATTGTTCTTACGTGTTTAATTGGAATATGCAGGCTGAGATTCTTCCTTCATTGGAGGATGAACATATTGTAAATATACCATATAGTGGCGAATGCATAATTAAGGGGAGCAGCAAAGTATGGATTGGCATATCTCGTTCTGGGGGTTCCAAGTGTGAAAGATGTTGGAATTATTCACACCAGGTTGGTTCATTTTCAGACCACCCAACCCTTTGCGGCCGCTGCTATGATGTTGTTGCTATTCATATGCCCCCTGAAGTAGCTGCAGTCAGTTAAGATTTCAGGACAGGCAACATTTTTTGAATTCCAATGTTTTCTAATTAAAAATAGTTTCTTTTTTAGATTGAATTTTGATCAACTGCCAATGTAGAACTTGTTTATACTATCATCAAATTGTATGTTGCCCACTAAGGCTTTGGCCTAGTGTGGGGTGGTGTCATATCATTAAAAAAGTTTAATTATGATAACAATTAATTGAGATGTTAAACTTTTTCAATGATGCGATGTTGGATCATAATTTAAGAATGGATCAGAATTAATTTTTATCTAATCCGATTCGAGTCCTATCGGAGCCATATTGAGGGAGTTTCTTCCAATATCATTTTCTCGGATCAAGTTCCTTACCACTTAATCAATAGTTATTGGTTAAAGACTTGAAAAGCTAGACGAATAAAGTTACCCTTAAATCCAAATCACATTAAATGAGCTCAACAAGTTTCAAAACTCAAAATCATTAAGGCCACAATAGAGTTGATTTGTAAATTCGCTAATAGCAGTTCTAGTGTTGTCCCTCTTGGCCTCCAGATCAAGAGGGAGTCTGATATCAACCCACAATGGAGTCTGTCTGTTTGATGCAAGCTATGCTATATTTGTTTGGCATTACCTTCTAGTCCATTGAAACAAAATGGTAAATAGGAAAAGGAGAAATGCAACAATGCAACAAAATGGTTACACTGTTCTTTCTATGGTACGCAGTAGGAACTCCATCCAACCGAGACATGCTGCTTATGCTTCAAAAATAAGCCCAGCGCAGCTAGGGGGAATTCACGAATTTGTAAAATTCAATGCATGGATCTGAATATCTAGGAATAATTCATTTTAAGAAAGACAATCATCTTCAAAACAAAGTGATTCTTATCCAATCACAACTAGCCAAAAGGCTAGCTTCCAGTCCATCCCTTCATTTCTAATTTCATTATTAAGCTCATCCAATCTATCAGCCATACATAAAATAAAGTCCTGCTGATAACACTGCTTCTCTAAACCAGCAACTTCGAAGGGTTTAATCAGAGTCTTCAATATAGTAGTTTAAACAACATTGTCTTTCTGGTCTATTTGCCTGCGTGTCTGAGGTTCTTATAAAATGTAAATATAGCATCATTGATTGGACAAGCTTTTTGGACATTGAAAAATACATTTTTGGGCCTTTCAGAAGCCATTTTTTACCAGTAACATGAAATATAAAACTTTCAACAAAACATTCCCTCAATGAATTTCCATTTTGAAACCACTTCAAATAAATACCTTCGACATAAAGCATGTTCACCTTTTAACTTTTATAAGATGAGAACAAAAATAAGATGAGAACAAATCTACGATTGGTTGATCATAGTATCATGACCCGGCATTGGATAGTAAAACATGGTCAAGTGGGAAGCTCCTATTGTAGATTCATAAAAAGCTACTTTTTTTTCCCTTCATTAAATATTTTTTTTAGACAACTTTTATAAAAATAAAATAAAATTGGTTTGACTTATTTTAAAGAGAAAAGCTAAGAAAATACTAAGCCCTTTTCTATGTGTGCGCGCTTAATAATGTCCTTAGAAAGGCAGATTAAAGATATAATGAAGTAATTAAGTAATGGATGCAAGCGAAAGTAATAGAATAGTGGATCTGCAGCACAATCACACACAATAGGATAGGGAAAGCAATATGGATGAATTTACAGGCAAGGGGGATGTCCAAATAAAGACATACACATTCCCCCAACTAGCTGATTCATGTTACAAACAGAAGCTCAGCTTAGTTAGTATTCATCAACTTGCATTCTGCATCAGTGAGTCAATCTGAGCACATGAATTAGGCGAAGGCTGTTGCATTATCTCAGCTTCATCCAAATCCTGGGATTGGATGTGTATATCCTATCAAACAAAGTGACTGTCACTGACAACACTAATGCAATCCAAGAAAGCAAAAATAAAATAGAAATATGCTAATTACACCATTGTTTTCAGGAAATTGGATTGCATTTGCTATTAAATACTAATGCAAATTATCCCACAGACCTGATGTCCAAGAGGGCCCACCTTGGGATCTAGAACCTTTTTTATGGGTGAATTCCAATATAGGAAATTCTCCCAAACAAATTTCTAGTTTCAAGTTTTCCACAGAATTTAAACTCAACAAAGTAAACATGGAAGGAGAAACAGATGATTATAAATCCAATACCTGTGTCTGTAAAAATGGTTGAGGTTGCTGATCTTGGGTTAATGGATAAGCTTGCGGTTGAGACATTCTATAGTAAGGTTCTTTTAGATCAAGTTTACAGGATGATGTTTGAAGAATCCCTCCTTGTTCAGCACCAGGCCCCCACATTTTAGCTAAATGAAAATTGAAATTTTTTCATCCACATGCATGGTGCAATATAGTACAGAAAAAGAAGGAAAAGAAAAAAGAATTACCAACCTGACAATGTTAAATAGATAGTATAACTCTGTGCATTGTGGGCAATCAAGTGCAGCCTGCCAGTAATTTCTTGTCCTGCCATGACATAAATTGGCTGGGAGAGAACACAGCGTAATTGATACCAATGAGTTGTTGGTGAACCAGGGGCAGTGGTAAGCCACCTTTGCACAGTACTGTGGATTTGAAATAATTGTGTAACAAATTAACCAATAGGGACAACCACAAAACCTTGATGAATGTGAAAGCAGACACACCGTACTAATAGAAGAGGAATGGTTACCTTCCATTGAACAGTACATCAAACCAACATGCCAACCCATGTACTCTGGCACCCACAGTGGCGGTGAATCTGAGAGGAATATCAATTTCATACAGCTCTTCTTCCTACAGAATAAAAATGGATTTGATTACACATTCCTAGGCAATTTTATTTCAAGCATTGTAAGAATATAACCCCCAAAATGAATTTTATTTCAAATTCATAACCAGCAAAACACAATGATACATAATTACATATCCCCAAAAATACAAGGATTTGCAAATAAAAGTCCCATAGGAAGAGGACATTTGAAGAATGCAAACTACCAGATGACAGACTTCTATTAAATGTATTAGGTGGAATACTAGGATGAAAATGATATCAAGATACATTATCTTGTTTTCACGAACTAGTAGAATTTGTCAGCGCCAATAGGACCTCAAGAAAATAAAACAACCTCAGCAAATAAAATAGGCATTTCCAATAAATAGTTAATGCTTACTTTTATTTTGGTGAAGTCAATCACGTGGAACATAGGAGGAGCTATTAACAACCTTGGGTCAAAAGCATCCACCACAGGCTGCATGGAGAAGAGAAAAAGTAAAGTGGAAAGAATATATAATAAATTTTATTAACCACATCATCAATTTCAGTAACCGCAACTGTCCAATTTTACTCCAGCAACAAAAAACTATACCAAGTTCACACACTCAAGAAATCCCTAGAGGCAGGAAGTAATTAATAATGGTTAACCAACATTTTCATATTTCTCCCAATTTCTGTTTTGTCCATGGGATTATTTGAAAGAGTTTAAAAAACAAAATAGATCAAATTAAAGGAATTCTAAGACTAAACTCGGGAAGAAAGATGTCATGTAAGTGATAAGGCACCATCAATTATGATAATTCTAAGTTTCTTTCATAAGCCAATTTTGCTATCACCCTATTAGGGGGTGTTAGAGCCAGATTTAATTTGGCCTACATCAGGTCAGATTTAGCCTAGCATACTTGATAAAAGTGTTGAATAAGGCCTAACAGGCCACAAGTTTGTCTTTAAAAGGCTCAGCCTATAAGCCGGCTTGTATCATGCTATTTTATTTTGAATAATAAAATAATATTTTCTCATTTATTTTTTCTAATTATTGATAGGCCTAAAAGGCCTAGGAATAAATAGGCAAATATATCAGTCCAGGCCTTTTTTTATTTAAATGTCAAAGGATCCAAGAGAAAAGTGGCAATGAAAAAAATTGAGCATCTCCCTATTTTTATTTATCTTCCTTTAAAAAAACCCTACATCGTACCTTTAAAAAAAAGAAAAAAAAAGGTATTTTCTCCTATTGAAAATGACAAATTTACAAATCTATTAGGAACTACTGTGGTACACAGAACTTGTGCAACAGGACCACAAACAACATAAAATGAGGAAAAGAAAGAGAACAGAGCAAGAGTACTATACCATAACACTAGAGAAACAAGGACTTCAGAATTTTATTTATGGATAGCCCTAAATGCAACTGGCTTGAAGACCAGTTGAAAAGTGTATAATGTATAATCCTCCAGCTTGCTATGTGAACTATAAATCCAATGTTTCCAACCTTTGGTCAGACAAACTCCAATCATGTTATAACTGGTGAAGATGCCAATTCATCTAAACCATTGTTACTTAACACTATAACCTCCAGAAGTATGTAAGTAATAAAAAATTAGTTATAGGTGCTAAATCTATTAGGAACCGTTGAGTACACAAACACATGGAATGCTTGCAGCAGGACCACCAAAAACAGAAAGGGGAGAAAATGAGAAAGGAATATATCATAACTTCAAAGTCCATTCCTTATTTTCATATGCAATATGGGAAGCTATGGATTGATATTTGCCAGAAGATTGAAAAATTATCTAGATCCTTCATTTGGGGTGACTCTCCTTTGCATCACAAAACACATACCATTGGTTGGGATATTCTTCGTCATTTAAAAGAAAAAGGTGATCTGGGATTAAAGAAATTGACCTTGATGAATGATCCATTTCTAGGGAAGTTGGTTTGGCGTCTCTGCTCTAGGGAACAATCACTTTGGGGTTGGGTACTATGTGCACTATATTGTAATAATAATGTTATTTCCTTCACGCCTATTTCCGGGTGCTCGCACCTTCGGAGTAATCTTTGTCGTCTTTGGGATCAACTTAATTTCAATATGACATCGAAAATTGGAGATGGGAGAACTATTCATTTTTGGACTGATCATTGGTTGTTCAAGGATTTTCTCTTGGTGATCTCGCCTCGTCTGTTCCTGTAAGTGAACTGTCCAAGTTGGTTATTGATTACGTTTCTAAGTCTGGGGATTGGCAGATTGATATTCTGAAAAATTGGTTACCCCAAAATGTGATTCCTCACCTTCAAAGTGTTCTTCCTCCCACTGCACTGAACCCTCCTAATCAAAAACATCAGTCCTTACCTACGGGGTAGTTGATATCTGTTAAAGCTTTGTATTTGTTGCTAAGTGGGGCTCATGACTTAGATTACCTTGGTTGGGATGATTGGTTTTGGTCTAAGATCTGGAAATGGCGTAGCCCTCACCGTATGAAACTCCTGTTGTGGAAGTTAGTCCATGGTAAAATTCCAGTTAATAATTGGATAGCTTCCTGGTCCCATAGTAATAGCCTATGTCCTGTCTGTAATCATGAGGATGAATCGATTCTGCATGCTTTATAGGACTGTGCAGTGATTCGTGAGATTTGGTGCAAATTTGTTCCATTGGACAAACTAGATGATTTTTTTCGGGAGACTTGTTTTCTTGGTTGCGTGACTTCTGGTTTTTGGAAAAGTTGCAGGTTCAAAATTGGAATACATTATTTGTTGTTGTTATCTATCGGGTTTGGCTTTGGAGAAATGCCATTGCTCATTCTCAGGTGTTTGCACCTTCTTTACCATATTCCTCAACTAGCATTAGTAGTCAGTGTGCGGTTATTTTGAGCAGTTTTGACTCTAAAATACTTTGTCCTATGGATGTGCTTATTCGTTGGGAGTTTCCTTCCTTTGGTTTTATCAAATTAAACACGGATGGGGCTGCAGCATGTGGTGGTTTATTTAGGAATTTTCAGGGTGCTTGGCTTGGTGATTTTTCTTTCCGTATTGGCATCTATAATGCCTTTTCAGCAGAGCTTTGGGGAGTTTGGCATGTAGTCGATTGATTCTTGAAAGCGACTCCACTTCGGTGGTTGCCTTGCTCACCAGACGGGGTGCAGGAGCTCGTGAGTCTATTTACTGACTCAGATATGAGCACTTGTAGAGTAGGACTGGCAGATTTTGGTTGTTCATGCCTACCGCGAGGCCAACTTTTGTGCTGATTTTCTTGCTAATCTTCCCCTTAATGATGCTTCAATGCCGGATGAATCTATTTTTGCAGATCCTTCTCGTCCTTTAAAGTTTCTTCTCCAAGCGAACACTGCTGGCGTTTGTCATCCCAGGCGGGGAATGGGCTAGCTTTTATCCTTTTTTACTTTGTGCTTTTTCTTCTGTTTTTCTTTCTTTCGATTCATGTATCAAAAAAAAAAAAAAAGAGAGGTGACAAGGACTCTAATAAGCCTAGCACCAAATATAAAGCTGTGAATAGACCAATTGAATAACGAATATAATCCTCTTCAGCTTGCTCTGTAAATGTCAATTCCTATGTTACAATCTTTAATTTGACAAAGACCAATAATGGTAAGAAAAACAGGTGAAGTTGCCAATTTGAACCTGAACAATGCATTTCTATATCTACACAAATGTCATCTCTAAAAAATTATTAGGGTGTGCTAGGTAAAACTTTAACGAAAAACACTTCTACGATGTAACTTTTTTTTTACGAGCTTTTTTCAGAAGCTACTTTTTCTAGCTTGAGAAAAGCACCAAGACTTTTTGGGGTTTTTTTTCCTTCTAAAGAAAACTTAATAATTATCGTTAAATAATTTTTTTCTTAGAAAAATAATCTTGTAATCTCTGATAGCATATAAGCATTAAGAAGAAAGTAAAAACAGAAGCCAAGTTTTAATTTGATATACTCACAATAGTGCCAAAAAGAGATATCACATATAAGTATACAACCTTTTCCCTGCGTAAGGGGATATCCCCAAACAAACATTTTATACAGCAAGTTCCAAATAACTCCTTCAGTTAACTTTTTGAAACAAGATAGCAAGATACCTGAGAAAAGTATCCTTGGAAAGCAGTCCCGTGTAAGGGCGTCAAATCAACACCAAAATAGTTTGGTTGTTGCCAAAACAGGGCCTGAACAGATAAAACAATATTGATCAACGAAATAAAGAAAAGGGGAAAAAAAGTATATCTAGAGAAAGATGGAGGCTAAAGAACAATCAGAAAACAAAGGATAAGTTCTCCTATCAACTATCACTAAAAGAATGGTAGATCATGATACAATTCTAAAACATAAAACTCTGAAAACTCTGAAACCAACAGCTAACACCCTGGATTCTACAAAGCATACTTTTGTTTTGTTTTGCGGAAGGGGGGTGGGGGTTTCTTTTTTAGTGTTGGATTCCAGTTAACTGCACAGCTGAAGCAAAGCTCATTAAGAGATACTTCTGACTTGATGTGCTGTTCAATGGAGGCATGTTTATAATCTTGAAGAAGTTTTTTACAAAGTTAAGCCTCTTTCATGTTATCTTGATCCCAACTCTGGGTATCAAAACAATTCTTTAAGGATATCTAAGAAGAGTGAAATACTGAACAAAATGTGTGTGTATACACACGCAGACACAGATACCTCCCCCGACACATTGCTTTATGTGTGTAGTGTTTACTGAAATATATCAAAGTACAAGATGTAGAAATAAATATGTATGGGCATGTGAGTGTATAACCACATATATTTGCTCACCTTATTAGCAATTTCAACAAACAAATATTCATCACTGAAAGGAGCCATGTGAATCCTGCAGCAGTAATAAACTCAAGATCAGGAGAAGGCAAATAATTCTTGGATATTATAAGCAGTTGGGAAAATGCAAATTTTAAAATCCTAACCATTTGGGACCTAAATAATGTAGCATTCTTAACACACAAAAACACAAACAAAATGTAGCACTCTGAACAAGCATCTAAATATTGAAAATTTATATTGAGCTAATAAATTATAAATAAATTTTGTGTACACTGTACACATAAATGACTCATTTTTAAACATAATTTGCTTGCATATTATTCTGAACTGACACTGAAATTGCAACAATTGCTACCATTAGAAATATAAATATAAGAACCATTCTTGGGCCTTCACTTAAACTTTTGAAATAGTTGGTTCATGACATGATATCAGAGTCTCTATATGACTAAGAGGTCTAGAATTCAATTCATGATATCGCAGCAGTATCACAGATAACCAAAAATAAAAAAGAAGGCAGAAAGGGTGCTTCAAAGTTCAAATATACCTTCCTACTGTAGGAAACATTTTCCCTTTAGGGGTGAGAAACCTATCTCTGGCAATGACATAAGACTCTAGCATTCTTTCATTAACTAACAAGGTGCCTGCAACACAACAGAAAAATTTCGCTGATTTATAAATAACCAACAAAATGGTTGAAAAAAGACTCATGCTAATTCCCATAAAACACTTTGCATTTTCAAATTTTTATGACACAACTTATCTCAAAACTACAAAGCAGCAACAGAAAAATCTACTGACAAAAATGTGGCATAAGTTATGCATGAAATATCAGCATCCTTCTCCAGATTGACTGACAGCAAGTAAAATATGAGCTTACCCATGGGCTCAGAGATCAGAATATCTGCTTTCTCTGGCAATTCAACATCCTCAACTTTGCCTTTAATCACCTATGTATATATAAATATTACATGATACAGTGGCTCTCTGACCATATAATTAATGAACGATGACTATAGCAGGAAACAAAGAAAACCATCTCACTGTAATTCGCTGACCCAGTATTGGGTTCCCAGCTATAAGTTTTCGTGCATATTCTGCCATTTCAGATGCTTCCACAGCATAAACATGTTTTGCACCAGCCTGCAAAAGAATGAGAGAATGACAAAGACTTAGTACAAAGTTTTCGAAGAAGGGGGAAGGGGAGACACCTGAGGTTTTCATTTAATTGGCCTTTTGACCATAATGATGTGAAAAGGCAAATATTTTCCCCCCATTGATTCAAAAACCAAATATCTTGCAAAAACAATGCCGTGAGAAGCGCACGGGGGAGATGCACGACTTGTGCAAAAGCGAATGCATGCCTGCCACATGGCAGGTGGGGCAAGTCGCTCATGGGTTGATGCACGATTTGCAATGTACATCACATGGCAGGCGCACACTTGCTTTTGCACAAGTTGCGCACCCCCCATGCACGATTTGAATTCGGATGCCCCATGCGTATGTCACTGCATTATTTTGGCAAAATGTATGAATTTGGAATCAATGCGGGAAAATATTTCTCTTTTCACATTAAATGGGTCAAAAGGCCCATATTATTAGAAGCAATCATGCTTAACATATGCTACAAATAGACTTAACCAACTAAGATGTTGAGCTACCTGAGCAGCAAATAATGACAAAATACCACTACCAGCACCAACATCAACTACTACACGACCCGTGAAATCAGCACGATTCTCAATAACAGCAGCATAGTAGGTTCCTAAAACAAGATCACAAAGAATTCTGTCAAGTAAATATATAGGTAAAGTTTAAAAAATAAATAAATAAAATAGAAGAACAGTAGAACACAATTAGGTATAACCTGTCCTCACATAGTCCTGCAACATATTTTGCTGATGCAGAAGTTGTCCATAATAATGAAAGTACATTTTTGCCGAAGATGGTTCTATCTTTTCATCAAATTTGCTTTTAGAAGTTATTGCATTAGTTCCATTTGGTAAGTTTCCTCCTGGATCAAAAACAATTAAATACATAAGTAAACAAATACCCTATATTACCAATAAATAATGAAATGTAATCATGCATGCAGTGAAAAAAAAAAACTTGTGAGAGCAAGCAAAATAAACACTGAAAAGTATAATTATCACATAAGTGTTTATATGATCATAAACCATGTCCAAAATGAAAGACTTTTAAGCAAAAGAAATTATTTAATTGGAAAGTCTGTCTCCAAAGACCAATTTAGATGCTAGCTGCATAAAGAAAAAACATATAAACAGTTAATATGACAAAACCAATTCTACCTAGAGAATAATATTTGCAATGAGATCCAATGCACATCAAAAATACTATGATAAGAAATTACTTTTTTGAATAATTATAAAATATCCCAAGTTCCTCTATTACCCATTGATACCTGTCAAGCAACGTTTCACCAGTATCAACTAGAATTACAGATTTTTTAAATATCCATTTAACCATACAGATAATCTAAAAATATGTTGAATGCTAAAAAAATTTAAATAATAATAATTTATTAAAGAACGATAATATTCAGTTGTCACAGCCCAAAAAAAAAAAAATATTCAGTTGTTTTTTCATTCTGCAAACCAAAGATGACCTAAAGTAACCAAAATCAACACAGTTTGCCAAAGGGCATTCTACAACAAGGTTTACACAAATTTCCAAAGCAGCACCTTGAACATTGAATTCCTTCTTCCATTGTTGGAATACACAATGGAAGGCCTCACTCTCTTCCTCATTTCTAAACTGTATAGCGACTCCCCTGGAATACGATGTCTGGTTCAAAAATAGCACAGTTAAAAGGCATAACTATTTGGCAGTACATCAACGAATTAAGCAAGTAAACAATGTATCACTCACACCTCACAAGAGCAATACAGCATAATAAAGATCAGTATAGAGGACAGGGCTCACAAACAAAAGACACAAAACAACATAGAATGCAGCGGTATCATAATATCAATTATTTCTCATAACACCCCACACACACACAGATATATATATATATATATATATATTGATGGATTTGTACCTGTTTGCCAGCATCAGACCCTTCCACCGTGCAAACCGATTGAACAGGACCTAACCTGAATAGCTGCAAACCATAAATGCACAATTTTTTTTTAAAATATCCTAATCGAGACAGACATATCAATATAACATTTAATGCATACTTCATTTTGAAACGAATTTAAATAACGAGATTCAAAGAAAAATAACAAAAAGACCTGAATAGCTGGAAGATCAACATTGAGAGCAATCTGATGAGATTCATGCTGAATTTGAAGACCGTCGCCGGTGAAGCGAGCAAACCCAGGCGAAGCAGAGGAAGAAAGAGAAGACAAGTCGCTCACCGATGCCAAAGCAAACTCTCGCTGCTTCCGCTTTTGCTCCCCAAAATCCTCCATTGCCGTTCCTTCCTCCAAGCTTAACCCCCAACAACGTTTTTCTCACTTTATTTTCTTCTCTTTCTTTTTTTTCGAAAATTTATTAAATAAAATAAAATAAAAGGCGTGTTTCTATATTTATGAAATGAAACTATGATGTGTCTGCTGTGTAAATAAATTAACGAGAAGAGAAAAAGAGAAAAAAAAAAAAATAGAACTAGGGTTTGGATCTGTGAGAATAGGGAGCCGCCAAAGACACACACATAGAAAGGGGGAGAGAGAGAGAGAGGGTTCTCGAATGCGTTGATTAGTTTCACTTTCTTGCAGGTTTGGGGTTTTTATAGTGTGTTGGTTTTGTTTGTGTGTGGTGCTTTCATGGTTTGGTTTGGTTGTGTTGGAGGAGGTGACTAGCGTGGGTAGTGTAGTGTCTGTCCTACTCAATGAATGAAGGGGATCTTATCTGGTGTTTCGCAAGCAATTAGATTTTCGTTACATACGCTACTTTTGGATTCTTGTGGTCCCTTTTACTTACAGGCTTACAGCATGCTATCTTTGCTACTATGTACTTATTTATTAAAAAAAAAGGTGAGATTTGTATATTATAAAATAATGAGTAAAATGGAAAAAAGTATATATATATACATATACGTTACTTTATTAAAAATAAAATAAATGGGATTTAGGTGATAATAATTATAAATAAAATAAGAAAAGTTAATTATATTATTTTTTTCAAATTTAATAAAAAATACATTTGAGTCTTCCGTACCAAAAAAGTAATGGATTTAAAAGAAGAAAAATATTTTTCTTATTTTGTAGAAAAAAAGTTACCTCATGTCGTAGAAATAAAATTATAAATGAGACCCACAAATAAGGGAAGAGAGAAAAAAAAAGTGATGGAACCCAATACCTTTTTGTGTGTGTAGGAAAGTTGTTTATCTCATGTAAAATGAGATAAACATAATCCTTAAAAGAATCGATAACTTACCATGGAATTTATCAAATAATGGTAGCTAAGTTGATATTAGGGAACTGAATAGGTAAGGATAAAACCATGTGTTCGATCCTCTTCAATACCGTTTTTGGGAGGAGTTTAAATTAAAGTCTTAATCTTGGGACTCGTCCCGAATCGGATTAGTCGCGAAGCGATGAATCGATTGGAATATCTAAAAAAAAAAATTATCACAAAATTTTTTACTTTTTAATACAACTGGAAATTAAACATATAATCTACCCAAATCCCTCACCACTATGTCAAACCTAATGGTTTAATAACAAAAAAATTCTTATACCGGATAAGAGCTTGAAGATAAATTACTTTAATTAAGAATTAATTTTCTATATACATATTAAGAATTAATCTTTGTTATTATTAATTTGCTATCATAATTTACTCAAGTACATTAAATTTATGTAATAAAATTTCACACTTTCAAAAAATTAATTTTATTTTTAAAAAAATTATACAAAAATATATATAGTTGTTTATTTAAATAAAGGGAAAAATATTTCTGCAGATAAGTTATCTGTATTTATCCCAAAACGACGTCGTTTTGGGATTAAAATCTTAAAAAATTATAAATATAAAGACTATTATAATCCTGAAATAAATTAAAATTACAAAAATAACATGATTTCCGCCCCAAAACGACGTCGTATTGGGTTTACTGCAGATAATTTATCTGCATTAACTGCAGAAAAAGCGAACCCATGAATGAATCATTCAAACACATCAAAGTGAGATATAACTTTGTAACCAAAAAAAAAAAAAGTGAGATACAACTTCTAACTTTTACTTTCAACTCTCTATTTTTTTGCCGTAGCTTTTTTTAGATCCATCAGATTTTTGTTTTATTTTTATCGTTACCTGGTGTAGGGTAATCATATATGTTATTAAATAATTACTAATTATCTATTTACACATAATAATAGTATTTATTTATTTAACTAAATCAATAATATTTTATGTCACGTTATTAAAGAAATCAAAATCCTTTTAGGAGTTTTATTTTTGTGTCTATCATATTCATTAAATTGTTCTGTTGAATGATAAAAAGATAAAAGAAAGTTTACTATTTTTTTTAATATTATATATTTTCATTACAACATGAGGGACAAAACCATAATAGCCAAATCACAAGGACCTATAGTGATTTATCTCTCAAATTGTCATGCATTGCAATTCTGAAGATCTTCCATTAATGATTAAAATACATGAAACACTGGGCTCTTTTCCTGGTTATCAGTAACTGAAGCCGAGAATAGTTATTGTCATTGCACCATAGCTAGAATGTAAAATCAATCGAATACTAAGACCGGTCTATTGTTTTTGAGTTTAACTTATGACATTTGGCTAGTTTATGTTGCACTACGTTTGCCAATATTAATATACATGCTGTTAAGTGCCCAATCCAAAAAATGAAAACAAAACTAACGGAACAGAACTATAGAAGAGTGTCTGCTTTATAAGATGATGGAAAGGTGAGAAGCTCGGATTTGGATTCACTGCATCCTACATAATCTTTCTCCAAAGCCAATTCAAACCGTCCATACATAATCCTGCAGATTAATATGTCAACATCTGTAACATAGGAATTACAGAATCATTAGACTATTAGAAGGTGGATGGATATGATGATCTTTAACGGATGCTTTTTCCATCTCCTTGACATTAAAAGCTCTGTCTATCTTAAGTTGTCGTTCTTGCTAACCATAATTGACAAGAAATCTTTCCTAATCAGACATTCCTTCCGTCATGACCCTTCAACCGAAACGAGCAAAGACATAGCAAGCACAACAAACTTACCCAAAAATAAATAAGGGAATTAATCTCTATTTCTCATCAATTTATCCACAAAATGGACAAACAGAACAGGGTCCGGGAAAGATACAGATGAGGAGGGTACTTGTTCTTTTCAAAAATCAATACAATAAATTGATATACTAAAACAATGATAGGCAAAAGCAAAATAAATTAAAGATTACAACTTTGCAACACTATCATGATGAATAGCAACTAGCAACAATTCCATATTTGGCATCTATTATAGCGGGCAGGCAGATGAACCAATAGAGTGGTAGGAAGTAGGAACCAATATCAACAACAACTATTAAAGTAGAAGCTAATCATCATTAACCTCCAAAAACCACCATCATAATAATCCTCAAGAAGAAGAAAGCTTGGTAGCTTTAAAAGCTGGATGAAGCAATCCAAGCTCATCGTTAGTATTATCAAGAGGATTCTCAGTCTCATTCCTCACTCTCTTCACCCTACGACTAGCAAGTGACTTATGGGTAAACCCATACATCTGCAAAATCTGATTGTCCCCAAAATTGTAAGCACGGTCCATCTGTTTCAAGCACCTCTCAACAGGGTAATCCCCAAACTTACCACAAGGCTTGCAACCCACAAAGTGAGTAACAAGTGGCCACCTATGATCCCCAAGACCAGGGTGATAATTCTCAATCATCTCCTCATAACGATCCACCAAAATCCCCCAATAACCATGCAAGTAATAACCATTCTCAAGGTAAACCTTGTCACCCCATTTCTCTCTCCCAGTTGCCAATAGATAAACCATTGCAGATTGATCATCAGCTTCAAAAACCGGTCTATTCTTAAGCTCCCTAGTGAGAACTTTCCCAGCCTCATCCCTTATCTTCCCTTTGGGTCCCATGGGAGCCCAAGCATCAAGAATGTCCAAAGACCATTGACAGTTTCTCAGAAGAAAACTACCAGTGTTCAAACCAATCCAATTCTTCTCATCATACACCATCTCATTCCACCCGTGCAACACAAAGTTGTGATCTTTGTAACGTTCCCAAGGCACCTCAAAAGCCATGTCGGTGAACATAGCGTCACTGTCCATCCACCATAGGAACTCAACCTCAGGGTGAGAAAGCAAAAGCTTACGAATCAATGGAAGCTTAGCCCAAAACCCTGCCATTTCCGCATCCAAAAGTGCCATGTTGTAGAAAACCTCAATCCCATGAAGCCTGCAATAATCAACCTTGTTCTTAATCGCCTTCAGCAAGTAATGGTCCCCAACCGGGTTTTCACACGGTTTGGGCGATGACCCGGTTACCAGAAGAACCCGGGGTTTATTTGACCCGATGAAATTCGGGTAATCCGGGTTGTTTTTTAGCCACGATTGGCGCTGTTGGTCCCAATCGGAGATCTTCGGGCCGAGGGTGTAAGGAGTGTTGGCATCGCGCTTTTCGTCTTCGCCGGCGTCTTCGTCGACGAGGATCTTCGATAGATCGAAGGTGGCGTAGTTGTTGTTGGATTGGGTTGTTGTCGGGTCGGGTTGGGATTCTTCGAGGACGCGGCGGGCGCGGGCGGAGGAGAGGTGGTGGCGTATCTCGTTGAAGTCTTGTTCGGGTGTGCCGAACTTGCCGGCGCCGATTGTGCCGCGGAGGACGACGACGGTGAGGAAGAGACAGACGAAGGTGACGCCGCTGTGGCGGCACGCCCTCTGGATCTGACGGCCTCGCCGAGTTCCGAGGCACCGCTGCAGCATTGTCTGAGTTGACTCGGCCCCGACACGAACGAACTCGATTACTCAGAAGTCAGAAGGACACTTGTGTTGTGATGCCAATTATGCGAAATGTGTGATGTAATAATGTGAGAGAGTGAACGCCTAATCGCGTTAGTTATGATCGTAGAATTTGCGGCATATTTTAGGGCTTTTTATTTCCCTGGACGGCTCTGTCGGTGAACGATTGTCACGTTAATACCTCCTGATACCTTAAAGAGTTTGGTGATTGTCATTTTAGATGACATAAATTATGTCATTTCAGAAAAAAGATAGACACAGAAATCATGAAAGAGAGAAAGTGTGTGTTTTTTAATTTAAAATTCAAATTGTTTGTGTCTGTACTTCTTTTGAAATGACATAACTTTCTGTCATTTAAAATAACAAACATTCTTCCTTACATTAAATTAAAATTATTATTTTGTTTTTTTATTGAAGAAAAATATATGTTAAATGTTTTAAACGTTTTTTAGTTTATATATTAAAAGGATTGCTATATCAAATATCTTGTTACATGATCATATTTCTACGCATACAACAGAGAAGAGAGAAAAAATCAAAATATGAGGCCTATGTATAAAGTTGTTTGGTTGAAGAGATCTGAAAATTTTTCCATACAAATGAACTTGGCAATCCAAAAAGTCATTGTTTGGTAGAGAGATTTATTGAAGTTCCCCATCTATGCTATTTGCATAGCATTTCTCCATTTGGTCATAGAAAGCCAGTCATTGTTACTATTCAGAATCTGAAGTTGGTGGTGGTTTTAAGTGGATAGCTGGGTAAATTGGAAAATGACAAAATAAAACAGACTAAGATACCCTCTGATTCTTGAAGACAGATGATAGATATTATCTTCAGCGCTCGTCTTTGTTTGAGTGCAGAAGCTTATCTTACATGGACCACACGCACAACAAATTTTGTCCCTTATCATAAATCTCATTTCGCAGATGTTTACAAATGGGATTTACAGGAGCATTGAACATAGAGCAACTGTCAACTCAAAGAACGAGAGGATTTCCATTGCTGCATTTAACTGGCCTGAAATGAACACAATTGCTGGTCCAGTATCAAGCCTTGGTATTCCTGAAAGACCTGCAATGGATTCCATTCACGCGAGCAGCAACAATAATCATACATGGATGTCATCAGGATCCAAAACAATCATTTTTTGAACCTGAAATGTATTTACTGACTTTGCCTGAGAATGAAAGATTATTCATGTACACAGAATGATTATGCCATCAAATATGTATTCTTCAAATAGTTGTATGAAGTGTGCCCCCAACTTGTAGTTTTTGTATTTAATATTCGTTACTGAATGCATAGTGTGTTTTTGTTTATAATATTTAAATGCAGTTCGTAATACTAACTATCTCTATTCATGAGTCGCTTTGCATCATAAATAATATATGTATTGTATGAAAATCTATATTTTCGTAAGTATAATAATTATATAATGATACTTCACGCCATCAAATTCAATGATACTTCACGCCATCAAAATGACTCTGGAACAAATAAAAAGTTATTGAGATACCACCAAGGTTACAATATAAAATATATTGAACATTATGGCATGTCCAGAGGAAGCATATTTGAAATGAAGTTGTTTTAGGAGCTCCAAATGACACAATGCAATGTAAACATATAATTTATTTCTGATATAACATACACAAACTTGAGTGATTTTTCACATCTTTACAAGTGACAAGCTTTCAGCAGGGATATTTTTACATCTTCACACAGGGATATTTTCGTAATTGTCACTTATTTCTCCATCTATATTTTACCTCAAATCAAACATAGACTTTATAAATCTTACCTAATTTGCCCGGTAAATTTTTTTCCAACCAAACAACTTTTTGTTACATTTTCCTACCAAACTCACTTTCCAACCATTTCCCTATCAATTATATTTCCCTAGTATTCAAAAAATTTCCCCTCAACCAAACGCCCCCTAATTGTATGTGTAGGAATATCATGTTACATTATGTAACATGATATTTGATTTACTCTAAGAAGATTTTGTGTTTGTTCTTTTAAAAAACATAAAATTGTGTCCCTTATTTTTATAAAGTAGAATTGTGTCCTTTTAAATAAGAAAGAGATACACCATGGAAATAATAGAGGGGAAAATAAGTATTTTTAATTTAAATTTTAAATAAAAATACTAGTTTTATTTAAAATAATCATCCTTTAAAATGACAAATATTTTTTCAGAAAAATATTTCATTGCCTCTTCAGCAATTTTAAAATGAAATCATTTTGTTATTTGGGGAGAAAAATATAGGGAATTTATTAAAATTTATAATATAATTGGAAAGAAAAATTTTTAAAATACCATTTATTTTTTATCCTATATCGAAAAATGATGTTGTTTAAAATTATAGGAGATAATTTTATTTGTTGTGACAGGAGAAATATTACCCTTAAAATAATGGTTTTAATGTTTGTAAAGTGAATGTAGATAAGTTATCTACATTCGCGCCAAAACGACGTCGTTTTGGATTGAAAAATTAAAAAATTATAATGGAAAATACTATTATAACCCTGAAATAAATTATAATTACAAAAATACCTTGATTTCCGCCTCAAAATGACGTCGTTTTGAGCTCAATGTAGATAAGTTATCTACATTGACTACAGAAAAGCGAACCCTAAAATAATATGTCCTAACATTTTTAAAATTTAAAATATATGTGTATGCGTATATGCATATTTTTTTTAATGTGTTGAAAAACAAAAATCTTTAGGTGGTGTTTGGTTGGGAGCTTTTCAGCGGATATCTATGTTTTTCAAGTATGGCTTTTAGAAACATCATGTTTGTTTCAACGTATTTTCACCAAAAACTCATCTATCCAATTTGTATGGATTTATGAGAAACATAGATATCCGCACTGTTTAGAAACTCAATTTGAAGGTGGGATTTTTCAGAAAACCGGTTATCTGGTTTTTAATGCACTGTTGATTTCATAAAGTTACCTAATTTTCCCAGTAAAGTTTTTCCCCACCAAACAACTTTTTTTTACATTTTTCTACCTATCTCATTTTATCTATCTTTCCAATCATTTCTATATCTATTACATTTCTCTACTATTCCAAAAAAATTTCCTCAACCAAACACTCCTGCGTCAAACCTAGCTAAACAATTTGGCATTAATTGACGGAGTACGTGACATGTATCACTATAATATGCTAAGTTGTTTGCGATGGTTGAACAATACAGATAAGAATGGCGTGGCCATGTGGATTTTATTGTGGTCCGGAACCACCATTTTTTAGGTGATTCCTTAGTGTAAATAGAAGTGTAAAATTAAAAAAAAAAAAAAAATAGCAGTGGTAAAATGGGGAAAAAAATTAGTATTGTGAGAGGGAGTACCAAATCAGTAGGTGATCCTGGAGCATATTAAATATTTCCCAAATTCAAATAATTTTACGTTATTTATTGTTTGAATGTCATGCCAGCCTACGATTTCAAATAATTTCTTTAATATCAGCAGGGATAATGGGTAAAAAAACCTAACAGTGGATTATGGAGTTCACTCTAAAATATTGACGGCCAACATATTGTTGTTTTTATAGCTCTTTGATAGAATTTTTTTAATTTGAAAGGATTTTGTGATCACTATTTATTCATGAAATCCTATTTACATTTCTAATTTTTATCTCCAACTCATCACTATTGCATCTCATAATTAAACTTGCATTTTGTATGTTTTGTATTATTCTTAATTAACTAACTAAATTTATTTCAAAAGTTTTTCTGTTCAAAACTAAAATTTACTCACTCTCTCGATCTATTCGATATTAGTATATCATTTGTATAAATTGCATAAAAAAAAAACATTGAAGCTGATTGTTCTTAGATATGTTCAGTTACGGAAAATATAGGAATTTTAAATAAAAATGGATTCTCTCATGTTTTAATTAACATGATCAAGGATGATGATTTTATGACCATTTATCCTCATATTTTTTTTTTATATCTTCTTTTATCATCATTGATTCACGTTTGTATAATTATAATTTTTCAACATGATATAATAATGTTAGTTAACAAATGAGAGAATTCACTCCAATCCCATTTAAATATATCTTTACTTTATAGATAAAGATATGTTTAGAAAACAATGACGAATTTTTATCAAAACTTGTTATCATGAACGGGACAAACAAAATAGATTATTATCCCGAGATAATTTCCTCTCTTTTTAATTTGTCTTTTGAAACATATAAAGTTCGTCATAAAATTAGTACCTCTCACTATATCAGATTCCTTTTATATTTTGAAATAAAAATAAAAATAGTAAGTGTAAGTTAAACTAGGATTATCAAATTTCTTACATCAACTTGGTAAGAAATGTACACCAGAGGATCGAATTCACATGAAAAAACAGATCAAAAGTAAAAGATTATCTATTTACAACTCTAAATTAAATGGAATTCTAAATTCACGGCTGGAATCCCTGAAACCAATAGTGCCAAACATAGTTGACTATATATTTCCAATTCTAAATTAAGAGTTTAATCCTCTAAAAACAAATTTGCCGATTCTATGAATATAGTCCACTTAAATGACTGAATTGTTTTAAGTATTAAAAAACGTTTTGCTATAAGTGTTCTTAAACACTTTTTAAGGAATAAAAAAATAACAATTATTAAACAAAAAGTAATATTTCTTTAATTCCTAAAATATTAAATATTTTACTTTTTAATACTTTCATTTATTTATTTTTGAATAAACCACAGATATCTTCATGGGAGACAATCATGTTCGGGACGAGTTTATGATTAAAGCTTTAAATCCCTCCCAAATATTATAATGATGTGCGGAAGATCGAACATGTGCTCTCATCCCTATCTGCTCAGCTATCATGCATCAACTATGTTAACATCTTTGATTATTTTTTATTTTTTTTATTTCTTAACAAGTATCTACCGGCTTGCTAACAAAAACACTAATAAAAATTACACATTTTTTTCTTCCTCAAACAAACCCGCATCATTGGTAATCTAAATCTAAGTGGGTATTAATTCCCATAAAGTTAATAACTATACAAAAATGTAATCAAAGAAAGATTAGCTTGAAGCTAATAAGAGTAAGATATGCAGCCCATACCAGACATGGTTTGGCCAGATCTTTAGCAAAAGGGTTGACCTTTTTAAACCTCAAATAACACAGAAAGAGGGTACCAAAATTCACAAGGCAAGAAACCGAAGCAAGCCAATATGCACTCATAACAAGCACAAGGGGGTGCCACACAATGCTTAGAGAGACTTGAGCTACGTAGAGAGACAATGCATCTGATTCCCCTTGAAACCCTCCATCAGCCCAAACTAGCCAAGCCGCGAGACCCATGAAGAAAGATGACCCTAACGTGGCCAAGTGAATGAACCAAAGTGGTGCAAACCAAAAGGGCTTGACCAAGCTACGGTACTTGCGACCTGAACCAAATAGGATGATTATGGTCAATGTGAGGATGAGAGGGACTGCAATACCTACAGCTAGGGAACGTAGTGCTCTCTTGGCTTGTGCTTTCTTTGTTTCATTCACGGTTTGAGAAGCCATGGATTTTTTTGATTTTTTTTTTTTGGTGGGGTGGTGGAAGAGGAGATGAAAGTAGAGAAGAGTCAAAACAATTTTAATGAGAGAGATTAAATCGTTAAACTAGTGTTTTGGAGCAAAATTAGGAGAGTGTTAAATTAAGAATTTGGTATTGATTAGATACATGGTAAGTAATGATAGGAACTAATATATATGGTTAATTATCCATTGAGTATATTGTGTTCCTTTTTTAAGTCAACGATTTTTAAGGAAAGGAAAATTTTAGTAACTTACTTGAATGAATTAAATCATTGGAGACTTGGAGTGTTTTATTATTATTATTATTATTATTATTGAAGGGTATTGATCAGTGATCACACCGGGTGAGGTGCAAAAAAATGCAAGCCAGTACATGAAGGAGTACTTGAAAACATGTTCATTGTTTGGAATATTGGGAATTGTTACGAAGATATCAACCTACCTCCACCAAAATCTTCATTCAATCCAACCTCTCAAGTTCAAGTGACAAAATAATATAACTCTTTATTGAATGTTTTTGTTGCCACCAGATTACACGTGTGATGATAAAAAGGGTCCATCACAGTACTTTTCAATCTTTCTACGGAAAACATGTCAACATATTAACATTCAGCATAGGAGCATCACCGACTTTAAGCAATTTGAAACCAAAATAGATTTTAGGGGCAAGGATTTTGGAAAAAGATTCTCAAAATAAATTTGTTTAAAGTTGAACTTGTCGAGGGTTAGGAATGTTAAGGGTTAGGAAGTGGAATTGAAATTTGTTTGGTACATGTGGGTAAATTTTAAATTTTGGGAATTGGAAATTGGAAATTTTATTTATCTATATTGGGGAAGGTTATATTTACATATTTTTTATTTAGAAACTACACTAAGTATGACCAGTCATACTTCAATCAAAAGTGTATAACTGGTCATACTTAGTGTAGTTTGTAAAAAAAATTTGTAAACAGATCATTTCCCGTCTATATTTAATATAAAGACTGTAAAACTTTTTCCTGTAAAATCAATTTCCCAGGATTTTATTTTCTGAAGCAGATTCTCATTTCAGAATACCATCAGTTACAAAATTTCCAAACTTTTTTCGGACAAAAATTACCTTGTTGAATTTTCCAAATCTTCTTCCATTTTGCTCCGTTTTCTCAATCTCAAGTCTGTTTTGTTTCCATGGAGTTTCAGCTTCAGGTCTCAAGGCATAGCCGATCCATTATAATATATCTTATAATGAAGATATATAATTGAGCCACACAAGAATATTAATAATGATATAGGAAAATGACAAGAAGATATATGAGCCATGAAGAAAGATAGCAATTGATCAAAAGTAACAAAGAATAATAAGAGCAAAAATAATATCAACGGCAACAAACCATAAATAATATTCAAGAGAAACTTAATGTCACAAACCATGGTAAAAGAATATATATATAAATAAATAAATAAATATATATATATATATATATATATATATATATATATATATATATATATATATCAAGTCCAACAAAGTATCAAAGCATTGCTAAATTTAACAAGTTCAGCATCAAGTCCAAAAGAAAATTCAAGATCCAAAATTCAATGCATAAAGCTAAATCATTTCCATATTTAATTATAGTTTTAGGACTTAGATCTAATTGTAATGATATTTGTGACTTGCATTACATGAGCCAAAAATATTTTTCAAATAGCATAATTTCAAAGTTCTTGAAATTCTTGGATAAATTTTTCAAAAAATAGATGGAAAATGGTTTAACATGTTTTCAACTTATAAACATTTTTCCAAGTACATATGCTTACAATGTTAGAAAGGTTTTAAAATTGAAAGGAATGCATTTTTAAATAAAATAGGTCTGCTGTAATGATATATCTAAATATGAAAAATGACATATATGGATATGCATATTGGCATACTACCCTGTCGTATATTCATATATGCATATCGGCATACGACTTTACCATATATTTGGATACGCATATCAGGATATAACCTTGTCTTATATCCGAATACCCATATTAGGATACGACCCTGTTATATATCCGGATACGAGGGGTTGATGTATCCATATATACCTCGACATATATCCGAATATATTATGCCAATAGGCCTATTTTACTTCTAGAAAGTGTTCCAATGATTATATTTTGTTGGAGACTTATAAATACTCACCCCCAACGGCTCTAAACAATTTTCGATACTTTTGAATCATTAGTTGAGTCTTTCTTCATAGATTTCATTAATCATACACTTGCATAACACATATTTGATCCTTTGAGCTTATCTTGTCATAAATAATATACCTATAGTTCTTCAATTTGCGTTATTTACTCTTTAAGGGTGTTTATACAATTCTGAACGCATTCTCTATTGTATTCTTGAGTTAATGGGTAGTGAGACCCTCAGTAATTGAGAAGCAACCCGTCACCTATGAAATTTTGGGAAAAGTTTGAAAATTGTCAAATACCTATAAATTTGGTAGAAGTTGTAAGGTTGCCAAGTACTCAAAAACTTGGTGGACCATAGAGTGCCACGTGGCCACATTACAAACACTTATAGTTGTGAAAAAAATTGTGAAGGGACAACATAAAAAGCAAAGGTACAAAAGCAAGCCAAACCACAATCCAATTAGAAGAAATTCGCAGGCTGGAAATATGAAACAACAAATATGTATTCTCAAAACACAAATATCACAATCTGTTGACCGGAGTATACTCCATACATCTTGGCATTCTAACTTCGCAGACTACAAAGCTGGGGGCTTTGTTCTAGTTCGACCGAATGGCCCTGCCCAGCTAGCTCAAATAGCTGCCCGGCAAGACCATCATCACTGAGCAGGTAGATCACATGACTCCCTTACACATGTATCCCTCATGCTCCCCACGCATGCATGACCTTTTGCACGTCATGGGTCATGTAGCCTCACACATAGTGGGACCCACAAGACTGGAAACGGTTATGACATCACACTTTGTGCATTTAGAGGGAATCTCCAACTTTTATATAAAGGGACCTTAGCTCCCTCACTAACCATCTTCTCTATTCGCTCTCCATTGTTGTTACTTTGCTGAATCTTCACCTCGACCATATTCGTACCCCGAAAACACCTCCCCCCCATTGTACCCTCAATTCATCTGAAGTTAGTATGGAGATACCTCAGAGCTTTGGTCCATACCATGACTTTCGTCATCTCCATCATATCAACATACTTCATCTTTTTGGGAAACAAATCCATACCTTCATACTTTGATTCAGTTCAAGTATTAAGATACCTCCCCAAATTAGTTGTTCGCTTGAACTAAGAAACATGTGTGATCATATAGCAACCTAACTATTCATATTTAGAGAAAAATAAAATAAGGATGGTTGGTTGTTAACTTTTTGCCGTGACATCTCCCAAAACATTTAAAGGCAATCCACTACATAAGTTTGCTATAGAGTTGATTCGACAAAAATCATCGAATCATCTGCAAACATAAGATGAGACTTCCTAAGCCCACTTCTACTAACCTTAATGGGTTCCATGTTCCAGCCTCCACACAATAAACAATGAGGTGAGATAGTTTCTCTATGCAAAAGACAAAAATGTAGGAGAAATAATATTCCTTTGTTGTATGCCTCTTTTTTTTTTTTGAAAGCCCCTTTGTTGTATGCCTCTGCTAGGACATATGCCTTAAAACTTCGCTCTATTAATCAAAATTGAAGCTTTACTTGTAGTAATGGATGTCGTAATAACATTAGTCATGCATTGGGTGGATATCAATACCTAACTAGGTTGACTCAGTTATATTTTAATCTAGTCATAGAAATTGAAATAAAAATAAACTAAGTAAAAAATATTAAATAAACCTAAAGAATCTAAGGTTTAATTGGTTTTAATTTTTGTTTAATTTAGATCATATTTGACTATAATGTTTAGATTTAAAATTAAAGCTACATAGAAAGTTAAAGAAAATATATCGACATAAAATGGGAGCAAGCACAAAACAAACACTTTGTATCATTTTATAAAGTAATTGTTATATGAATCAAGTTGGATTAGGAATTAAAGTTTTAACACATTTTTAAATGGGTCGAAAATGTTATTATTGTGGGTTGTATGAGATTGAGGCAATACTCGTGAATTCACATTTTAATTCAAACCTATAAATACTTCTATCCATAAGGGTAAAGGAACTTCCAACCCCATCAATCTATGTCTTCAATTAAAAATATATCTTTATCCATTTATGCAAATAAATAAATAATAAAGAATTTATATATATGTACGATTTATGTAAAAGTTTTTTTTTTATTTCATTACTCTATTTATTCCTTTGATGTGAGTTAGGTCTCGGTATTCCGACAATTTGAGTGGTAAAAAAAATGTGCAAAAGTATGAGACTAATATTGAGTCGAGCAGGAACAATTATCCAATTGTGATCTCAAAGGCCATCTTCAGAATTGGAATCTTTGCTCTTTTGATGGTGTATTCATCTTAGAGCTCATATTGCCACTTGAGTCAATTCTTAGTATCAATGTAAAAGAATTCTAAACGAACATTCACCATTATTTTAATATATCATTCTTTATTATTTTTATATCAATTACTGAAAAATGAAATAATAATATGCTAAAATATTAATATAATTTCATTTATGCTCTCTATATATACTAATTTAAATCTTAAATAAAGAATTATTTTGAAGCATTGCCCATGTAAAACATTTTACACAATTATTCAATCCCAACTCTTTAATACATTTAATTACGGGGATTAGATATTATGTCTATTTTACCTACTCTTTTTTAATATCATTAGATCAAAATTTCAAGAGAAGACATAAAGGGTGAAAGATGTTGAAAAGGAATAGATAGGGTAGCATTAGAAAAAATATAGGCATAATATCGCATCCCTTAATTATATTAAGAATTACCTAAAATATTAAATTTATTAAAATAATAGGATATTATGCCTATTTTTTATGCTCATTTTATCTACTTCTTTCCAATATCAATAGATCACAATCTTAATTTAATAGTGTTGAAGATAAATAGATAAAGTAGAGATCAAAAAATAAGCACAGTTTCATGTATTAAATAATGTAACAACATGATACATGTGTAACACTTATTATTACTTCGTATCAAATTAACCGATACATATATGTCCCAAATTATAAAGTGGATTCTCCACTTTGAATAAAGGAAAATACTACTCTCATTTTACATGAGGTAGTTATCTCTTTTTCTCTCACTTTGAAAATTGTGCCTCTTCTTTTTTCTTTTTCTTTTAAATAGCGAGCCTCTGTAACATGAGAGAACTACTCTATGTTACACGACAATAATATTACGCTTGAATAAATTGGAAAGCAAAAGTATAACCGAGACAAATTTCAGCTTAATGAGCTTTATTTACCCTTTTTCTTTTCTTGATACTCAAGGCGACAAAAATTCCCTATAAACTAAAAAAGGCATAAAAAATTAGAAATCCGCCAACACGAGTGTCTCCTTTTTGCAATAAACAAGTCACGACGGTGGATCACTCCAACATGGTAAGTGGTATTTCCTCCTCTTCCTTCTTCTTCTTCTTCTTTATTTTACTGTTTGGTAGATGAGAAAACGCCAGAAAATCGAAATGGGGGCAATTTCAGTTCAGAAAACCAAAACCCTAGGTACTAGATCTGGACCGAAATGGGGTTTTTTTATTTTTATTGGTGTTTCCTACTCTGAGTACCGAAATAGTTGAATTCGTGATTCCAGTGCCACTTTCGTCGTTTTCGTTGAGGATTAACGGGTTTCTATTAGAGTGCATTGATGTTTGCAACCAAATTACAGCATTGCTGTCGAAGTTTAGCAGTTAGTACCTGACAGTAAATAACGCCCTTGTTTGATTTTGGAAGTTCATGTTTTGGTTGATGTTGCTGTAATAACTCTCATTGTATTCATAACAATATGTATATGATTGTAGATACCCAAGAACAAGGGTCATAATGTTATGGTCTTTTAGACATTAGACTCATTAAGCAGTGCCTGAGACATCATGGATATTATATTCAGTTTGATTTTAATATGCTCACTCGATGCTTATGAAGTTGATAAAATAATGTAGTGGAAAGCTGAATCTTGTTCTGTCTAAACTCTGTTCTTGTTAACTGCCCGTATATGGATCATATCCTCTTCACATTTTTCTGTGTTTGTGTAACAAACGTGGCCACAAGTGGGTGTTTAATTGAAATAGAATGAATTGTTATGTCCATCATTTTTATTTTATGAAACTAGCTGTCTTGACAGTGGGATATTTAGTACTGTTACCAGCATTATGCTATGCGGCATCTCACTGTTTTTTCTTTCGGCAGGATGGACATGATGCAGTAGACACTAAACAGAGCACTGCTGATATGACAGTTTTTGTGAGTACCTAACAAATTTCTATTTTCTTCTCTACAATCGATAGACAAATAAATGTTTGCAAGCTATAGACTCTGATTAAGTGTATAATAAAAATACGACTTGTATATGATTTAAGATGATCATAAGGTGTTTTGCTTATCAAAGTGAAAAGTTCTGCAGTTATAACCACATTTTGATTGGTGCCCCCTGGTATTGTTATCTACTGAATATATGCTGAGGCTACTCTGTGTCTAAGGTAAAAAGGAAAGAGGCTCTTATACCATGCGTAGTTTTTTGTAGTTGATCTAACAATAAATGAATTGATAAATTCATCCCGTATCTCTCAAGGAATTTATTGCAGTATGTTTCCTAATTGAATTGCCGCTCCTTGCAGGTACAAAATCTTCTTCAGCAGATGGTAAGTTTGTTGTTGGGAATGATTGTGAAAAAATTTCATTTCATACTGTTGAAACTACATTCCACAGTTTTATCATGTTCAATTCCATAAATAATTTGCAGCAAAGCAGGTTCCAGACAATGTCAAACTCCATCATCTCAAAGAATATCCTTTGCTCTAAATTTTTAGTAATTTATTGTCACATTCTACTGGGGGAAATTATGTCAGATAGATAGCATACAGTCTTTATTTTATTTTTTATTTTTTTCTCCAAATGGAATGGGGAGGGGGTTGGCTTTGAATATCCACTCTAAAAAAAAGGGTGCTGAGAGGGAATTTTTTATTAATATTTATTTATTTTAGGGGGTTGTCCAATATTGTGACTACTTTAGTTTTATGTGAATGATAACGAACAACTTTGGTTATTGATTTTCTTAACTCCAATGCACTTGATGAGATGGGCAGCAGGATAGAGGAATTGGAGCAGAGCATCAATGAACTCCGAGCAGAAATGGGAGTGGAGAGTTCACCATCTCCTTTGGTCACCGAGAGGGAGAAGAGTCCCTCGAGTGAGTCGAAGCCCGAGATAGAAAACACAACTGAAAATGCCAGCGAATGATTCAGCATAGACTGTTGTTAGCGTTTGGCATGGTTCGTATCAAACAATATTGGTTGATGTGTTGTTTCCCTCTATTGCCCATAATTTTCTTTTTCAAAAAATAAATAAATTGAGGAATGGTCTAAATATTTGTCAACAACATCTTTGTTGCTATAGAAACTTGTTTCTTGTATACACCGAATTATGAATTATCTCCCCTTTTACAGATTATAGTGCTCAGAAGATTCAGATTCCTCTATAATTGCTGGATTGTATCTTTTGTTTTGTGCTATTATTTAAATTGTGATTGCGTCAAGTATGATGTTCTTTGACAGCTTGCGAGAGAGTTGTTTTAAGTTATTTGGCGTTGAATGTATTTGTATTTAAAATCCCACTATGCTATCATATGAATCAGAATTGTGGCACGGTAATACCTCAAATTGAGGATGTAGAATAGAAATTAATAGCTAAAATGTAACATTTGATTATAAGGCTTGAGTGTACTTTTGAATGTACAGTTTTGGTTCTTTGATTTTTTTTTTTCTTTCGATTTTTTAAAGTGAAAATGGCTTCATCTATCAACTTGTCGACTAATTATTAGTATGAATTAGTACTTGGCTAACCATTTATTATATTTAACTTTTTTATTTTAAATTTAATTTATTATATAAGAATATTTAAATAAATTAAAGAAAAAATCAGAAAAAAAAAAGTCATCTCAATGAAGTGTCATGTCATGATCTCTTGATCTGTTCCCAAATTTTGTTTCATTATTTTTTTAAAGGAAAAAATATTTATCCTATAATAAAAAAAAAATTATTCAGTAACTCTATGATGATATTATTTTGGGATTTAAGAAACAAAATTTATTTTAAAAGTTTAACTTTTTCTTTGTATAATGATTTGTATGAAAAAATCTTATATTTTTTTTTTTTTCAAATCTTAAAACAGTGTCATCTTGAATCATTGTAAAAATAAATTAAAAAAAGTTATTTAGAGAAGGAAATAATTTAGAATAAGTAATTTGAAAACCGTTTCTAAGTTATGCTTTTGAGAACAATTTTCAACAAAATTTTGTTGAGTGATAATGTTTGCCTAATTTTAAGAAATCTTAGGCTTCTTAAGGCCCCAGCCCTCCTCTGCGTATATTGGGAGATATTTTAGAAATGAGGTTTCCTTTCTTCGTTTAACAATATTACAAAAAAAAATTTTACACACAATATTTTGTGGGATCCACATGTTTTGAAGAAAAAAATAAAAGTTACGGCACGCAAAACGAATCTCTATAACATAACACAATCATTTTTCCTACAACATAACTCTTATAAAACCCTTTAGGTGACGTTTGATTGAGGAGAAATTTTTTGAATACTAGAAAAATGTAATTGATAGGAAAATAGTAAAAAAGTGAGAAAAAGTGAGATAGATAAGAAAATGTAAAAAAAAATTGTTTGGTGGAAAAAAATTTACTGAGAAAATTAAGTAACTTTTTTAAAATCTATGTTTGGCTGTAAGTAATATATAGATGGAAAAATGCGTGCGAGTTTACAAAATTAACCCTCACCTTATAAATTTTTTTTGAAAAGGAAGACACCCGTTACCCTACCCGTAACGTACGTCCATAAACTTTTGTAAAAAAAGGAAGTTTGTGTTGCCAACGACCATTTCAGAGCTGTGTTTGGAAATAAGCTTGTTTGTGTTTCCGCTTCTCAAGCATGACAAGATTTTCGTCGACATAGCACTCCAGACAGTCAGTGAAGGCATACAAGCAAGGTTTTAAGAACTGCCTTTGCATGGCACCGTTGTTACCAAGTTAGGGTTCGACTTCCATTGACGCACCGGAAGGAAAGAAAGGGCATGTTATATGCTTGCAATTGTTTTATAAAAATTGGTCCACCATCACAAGAGGTATGCTCATCTTTTTTTTCCCCTGTATACCATTGCTGTGGGTGTTGAACAAATAAAATATAATAATTACAGGTTTTGGAGCTGATGAATTTGATATAACAGACCCGAAGGAGGAAAAGAAGATGATATTTTTCTTCAAATAGGTTGTACTTCTTTATCAGTATTGCTTCCTTATTTTCTGTGGTGGTGCTGGTGTATGTGCAAGACAATATAGAAAGAGGGTGGGGATATGGAATTTCAGCAGGTACAATGTTGATTGCAGTTGCTGTGTTGCATTGTGGTACGCCATTCTATACATTTAAGAGGCCATGGCCAACGAGAAGTTATTAGTTTGCTTTTGATTTTGCTGTTCTCATGCCATTTACGAGCACGGTTTAAAGCTGCCGTTTGTGAATAATGTGTGATGGCTGTTATCCATATTGTGACTTGTGGGTTTAATTGCTTTTTGGATTCTTAGGTTGCATGGAGGATTCCGAGCAAAGGAAGAAAAGGCTGAAAGAAATGCGCTCGCAAGCTGATCAAGCTGAAGTTTCTGGTGGTATTGAAGGTTCTGGGGTGCCTGGTATTCTCTCAAATCCCCTGATTAAAGCTCCTTCCACTACGCCATCATGGGATAAATCATATGCTGCTCCAAGATTTGACTATTATACAGATCCAATGAGTGCATTCTCTTCTAACAAAAGGAGCAATGCCAATATCCAGGTTGCACAGGAATATTTCCCACCTCCAAATTTTGGTGGTTCTCCAATGGCGCAATTTTCATCACCACATCCAGGTACTGATATGTCTATCTGTTACTGTTCACTTGACTTCGGTATCCTTTAATCTGAGATGATTAATAAGGAACTAAGCAGACATTGCTGACCATTAGAGTCCTTATAGATTCATGTAGCATTAAGCTACTAAATGTAACGTATGCTGGTGTTACTAATATTACATCTATGCATACTGGAATAAGGACTTTAGCCCTTCCCTTCTAACTACTTTTCAGTACAGGGTAAACTGTTATTTTTTACCCCTTCAAATACTAAGTTTTCATCGATTTAGTTGTCAGAAGATTATTTACTTCAATTGACTACAATCTACATCTAAAATTTGACCCAATTAAGAAGGAAATCAGGTTTAAGAGACAAAAATTTACTGTTGAAGTTGGGGACAAACTGCTCCAGCCAATTGCACCAAGAAACAACAAAGTTTGCATATCCCCAGAATCTTTTCCCTCCTCATTTATGTGTCTTATTTTCATTAATTAATTAAATTTTTGAACATGTATATTTCCTTCTTTCTTTCTAGATTTCTATGACATAAGATTCCTAGCTGTTCTAATGGGTTTTTTTCCCTTTTTTTTAAAAAAAAAAAAATCTCTACTTGTATGAGCAATTGAGCATAATATATGAAACATTTGTTCCTACATGCTTACAATATATTGTCTGTGCCAACAGCTTGTGCTGATAGAGTAGTGAGAGTATTTAAGTTGGATGATGGTTCAAGTAAAAGTTTCAAGTATGTGAATTTCAAGAGCCTGTTGATACATATACATATAATCTTAATCTCAATCATATTCCATGTGTATAAATTTTATTCTCTTAACTCATTTGTAGGTTTCATATAATTAATTTGCCTGTTGGAAGTCATCCAACGGCAGTTACATTTTTTGATGATGCATCCTCCATTGTTGTGGCATCTAATATGCTCTCTGGTTGTTCATTATACATGTATGGAGAAGAGAAACCTAAAACTTCTGAAAATCAGCCACAAACAAAGCTTCCTCTCCCTGATATTAAGTGGGAAAATCAGCATTTAATTTGTAGTATTTTTTAGTACCCTATTTTCCTTGTGGTTTTTATTTGGAACTTATTATTTCCTTTGGGTTTTCGTTGACTGAGTTTGGGATAGAAACCTTTCTCTTGGTGATCTGTCTGGTTTTAAATGTCCTGGAGCATCATGAAACCCAGCTGGAGGTTTCTCTATATTGTCATTTACTTTTATCTATTTCCAAGTTGTCTGCAATAATTGTACTTTTGATTTCTGCCTTGGACATTTTGCTTTGCCATTATATTATCCAATCTTAATGTCACGAAATTTTACCTTACTTGCAGCATCTTCAGTTTCAAGAAGTCAATCAGATGTTGTGAGGATCATGAGTCCTCCATTTGGTGATCATGTAGAGGATAAGCTGGTCAATTGGAGAGGACTATTCGTTATTGTCATTAAAGCTAATTGGTTGAAATTCAAGAAGAAAAGATAAATGATGTGATATAGTCATGTGGAATGTTCTTTTTCTTTTTTTAATTTATTAGATGCTTTGCTGTACTTTTTTTATTTATTTTCCATTTTCATGGACTTTGCAGATTGTTTCTGACTCAATGAGAGCATCTTCAAAGAAGAAAATAAACGGAACATATGTGTGGTCATTCAGGGACACCATTCCAAAAGCTGGGAACCGCTTAGACTCAATGACAACTATAGAAAGTCCTTGTGTTGCTTCAGAAGGATCGGCTGATACCACACAAATGAGATCAAGCATAGAGAATGTTCCAATGCATGGGCTATATGATTCAAATAGATCTGATGAATCCTTGGATCAGTCAGGAATACCAGGAAAACACCATCTTGGGGTCAACATAATATGATGAGGGGGTGTGAATCAAGATAATATCCACTTGGGGTCAATGGAATCTCTCTGTTTTTTTTTTACATTGTGGTCAAACAATTCTGTATTTGCTTGCTGTTTTCAATACATGTAAAGGAGTCTGTAAAATAGTGAGGGGGTGTGAAGATATTATGTATCCACTTTGTGGTTTTTTTTAGTTCATCATGATTAATAAAATAGAAGATTTACGAGTCTCCTGATTCTCCCTTATTTTTACCTGAATCTGTTTCATTATATTCATGTAAAAAAAGAGAAGTTTGATAAATGGAACAAGCATTGTGGTAATTGATAATGATAATGTACTAAACTTTGAGGTGTGACATACAAAGTAAACCAATCTTACACGGTTCAATGACTCATGAAATAGCTTTCACACTAACATATGTTTCATACAATCTATTCTGCACTTGTACATCAACTACCTTCCCACTACACAAATACAAATGAATACTCCTCAACGTGTTCCATTCACTGCTTTCAGTCATCAATCATAAATTCATCTAAACTATGTTTGTGCCCATCATTGCATGCTCTGTCATATAACTCAGTGATGATGATGGATGTCAAACAATGCCCAACCTTTCATGTTGATTTCGAGTAGCCTTCAACATCACTTGCATCTTTTCCATCCCTGCAAGCTAAAAAGGTATGTAGCATATATTATATTAGACACATCCCTGATAGCCAACAAAGTTACCATCCCTTGGAAATTGTCAAATAAAGCAGCTCAGAAATTTGATACAATCGAAATTGCAAAAATCTATCATGTAAACACCAGTCAGAAATGCATAAAGCCACCTTTTCTCATTCATTTGATCTCTTTTCCACAAAGACTGTCATATTAAGTGATGACCAAAAGAGACAGAACCAAGAGTATAATGACCAAACATATAAGATCCCAACTCTTATTGGTTTTTTAAGGCTGCACACATATGAAAACATTGTCTTTAACTGAAAAGTGATTACTGATAACCCTTCAAATATAAGACATTGGCTTACTTAAATGCCTAATAATATCTGTATCCTTATATTATATCTCTCAAACTATAGAACTGAAGTTGATAAAGTGAAGAATCAATTGGAAATTGGGGCAAATATATGGTAGCACTGATATGCGCATGAGGCAATTAAAAGAACTTATTAACCAGAATTCTCAAACCTCAAGAAACCCATACAAACATCTATAGAAAGAAACAGCATCAAAGAGGTAACTAAATAATCTCCACAATAAATCACCTTAAACTATACTATACAACTATAAAGCATCCAAGCCTTTTCAAACCCACTAAAATTTACCAAACCTCCAATGATAATGGTGTACATACTGGATCAAAACAGATGCAGAACTACGATAAGGTTGCATATACATAAATCAGCAATTATATATGTATGCTATTACTAGATACCAACAAAATTGGACGATTAAACTTACCATTACAGTAGGAGTTAGGGAACTGCTGACCAATGTACTGGTAAAGGAGGATGCCTTTGCAGGAACAAAACCAAATTGGTCAACTTCACCAAAAAATACTGTGTTTCCTGTGGGGCCTTGTATCGGAACTCAGTTGGCCTCATAATAGACATCGCTCAATGCCAATCAGTTATGGCTAATACAAAAAATACTCCAAGAGTCAGTGTGGTATATATGACTCTAACACAGCAATGTGTATCCACTTGTAACAAGCATTGTGTTTGCAACATGTATTAAGTAAACAACCCACACCAAAACGTAACACATAGAAAGTGTTATCAAAATATCCATATTGGACCAAAAAACACTGCTGTCTATTATCAGATGTAATCAGACAACAACCTAGACACCAGGCACCGCCGAGCACCATCGCTGCACTGCATGAAGATGTCCGTTAAATTGCTATCTTTACCCAGTTTCACAGCAACGTGAAGTATCTGAGGTATAGTTAGATCTTCAAAATTTTCAAGCTCATTCACAATAGACATACGCCTGTTGCTTCCAGCTTGCTGCTGTTGAAAGCACGAAACCAACTTGTCCATGATATCGGTAGTTTTCTGGTAATTTTGGGAAATACCCTTCATGACACCAACAGCTTCTACAACTACAGGATCAGGGGTCCTTTGTCTTTTCTTTCCCTTTTGCACATTAACTGCAGATGCAGATGCTGTTTCGATTGGGTTTTCAGTTGCAATATCAGGACTGCAGGATCCTGGAGGGGTGCCGGTATGTAGTCTCCCGTAAGCTCTAGGTAGTCATCAAAGCCAATTCCACTCTCATCAATAAAAGCATGGTCTCGTTCCACACGGTTAACTGATTCTTGTGGGCATTCTGCATTGCGACCACTAGCCACATCCTTGCCAAATATAGTCCGCAAAGCATCATAGTGAGGGAAAGGCTTGTTGTATAAACCCTTTGCAGTAGGGTGACTCTGCACAAAAGATACATGTTCTGCATTATATATAGTACAAAAGGATATGAAATGGTTATAAATAATGCAATGCTTTAAAATTAGATAAATCACCTTCACCCAATCATCGAATATTTCCTTCTCCACTTCAATCATTTTTTTTTGCATCATTCCATCCAAAGCCGCTTCCCCCGTTTCCTCCAACCATACCATGTATAGCATTATATTGTTTTTTCAGCAACTTCACCCTCAAAGTGATGTGAAGAATTGACCAAAGGGTACAACCAGGGATCCTCTGGTGCATCATCTTTTCCACAGCACTAGAATATCCAGCTTTAAAGCCGTTATCTCCCTTCCAACATGTTCCAAGCTCTTATAGACATTCAACGAGGACCTTATCCTCTTGTGCGGTTCACGTATGATTACATCGCTTTTGTGATTGCTGACTACCTTCTACCATAATGTGAATGAAAGAAAGACAATATCTGCTATGGGTCTACAAATAAGAGAAAGTTAGTTTGATAAATAGAACAACATTACTTATAACATACAGGTACAATGAACATATGGATATAAATAGTAGAAAACGCTAATTCCTCCAACCATGATTATGCTAATACATGATACATAAGACGCTGTCAAGAAACGTACACTAATTATACAAGGAAAAACAAATTAACATAACAGGTTCATATACCAAATAAAGACTACATAATATCCGACAAACATAGATCAACAAATACTAGTTAAAAAGACTCCAACTCAAGCACGACTCTGCCAATTGTTAAACATATTTTGCGCGATTTCATTGTACCTGTTCAAACTGCTGCATGTTGACATCATCAGCCTCTAAAGGATCTATTGTCATTTCTCTCCTTATGTGGTTATGAAGCAAGCAACAAGCAGTTATAATCCTGCATTGCGTCTTAACTGGATAAAATGACTTTGATCTGACAATTGCCCAACAACCCTTCAGCATCCCAAAACATCGCTCAATGACATTCCTTGCAGATGAGTGCTTCATATTAAAAAATTCTTGTGGAGTCCTTGGTTGAGGCCCCTGCCTCCATTCAGTGAGATGATAACGTTGTCCTCTATACGGTGTCAGAAAACCTTCACCGTTCATGTATCCAGCATCACACAGGTAATAGTAACCTACAGAAAAACAATAAGTGAATACAAAAAGTAGTTAGTTATAGTTTGAGCATAATGGACAAATAAACCTCTAACTTAGAAATGGTAAGTTTAGTACCTTTTGGCACCCTTAAACCGTGAGGCCGCGAGATTGCATCTCTTAGAACCCTAGAATCTGCGGCTGACCCCTCCCATCCAGGCAATACAAAGATGAACTGACCGTCCTGAGAACAAACCCCTAACACATTTGTTGCTATGTCACCCTTTCTAGTACGGTATCTTGGCTTGTTAGCTTGCAAGGGATTTACCTTTATGTGTGTCCCATCGAGAGCGCCCAAGCAATTCTTGTATTTCAAACCACAAAATTAAGATTCAGTTTCAAACATGCATGGAGATGAAGTGTAACAAGAAAATTTCAATTAAACCCTAAACTATTATGTTACCTTGAACCACTTCCATCTTTCATCAGTCGATGTTTCCGCAACTGGCTCAGGCCGTTTCAGCAAAACATGATGACATCGTAACACAGCGAGTAACACATTTGAGAACTGCCTACTGATGGTTTCACCGGACCTCATGAATTGTCTTTTTATAATCCTTTTCTTCACATCATGGGTCAATATGTGCAGAAATATTACGACCATCTCTTCCACACCCATATGCGCAGTTGGTTCAAGCTTCCCAACTGTTTTGACCAACTCACACAATTTATGAAAACACCTTCTGTCCATCCTTGTATTCTCAATACAAGCAGTGTCACTTATATGAACTATTTTAAGGAAGTTAACTTCCATAACCCTAGCCCTGCCGTAATGATCCAAGGCTACTCTCCTCCTATTAGGTCTCGTGGTTTGAATATGCCGTATTAACAAAACACACAAACTGACTAACAACATCGTCAATTCATTCAAACACTGGAAATTCATAATGAGTGCAAGAACGAAACTAAACTCCATTTCATCCCCCAGGGCCATGATCTAACACGAAGGGACGAATTAAATCAATTAAGAACAAACAAATTATCTCAAAGCACTAGGGCAAATCAGCGAAACATACAAATTAGTAAATTAAATTTCAACATATATTATAATAATTACATCATCAAGTTAGTTCACACTAATACTCAGCAAGTGACCAATCTATCATTATGAATAATGCAAACAGATTTATATATGGTCCGCTACATTAAATGGTCGACTCAATACAATTCAAGAAAAACAATGGAAAGACTTGAATGCCCTGTCTTTCTAGGCATTCTACACTGTTAAATATTTTATTAAAAAAAGGACTCCAAAATTTGTAATATTATGACCCTTATACCGTAAACTAGTTGTTTCTTAAAAATAAAAGAGCAAATTAAAAAATTTAGTTTTATATCTCTCAAAATATTCTTTTTAATAATACCACAAGATATTTCTACATTTATTAAGCGTTTGATTAATTCCTATTAAAACTAGTTGGTATTATCAGCGGCAGCTATGTACTACAAAAACGGGGTCGACATGTGAAGCTTCTTTTACATAATTCATCGGATTCAGACAAAAATATAGTACACCAAAAGCACAATGCTTCAACCAACTGCAGACATGCTTGAAATTCGAGAAAAAATAATTATAGATTGAAATGAGAGAGGGAGAAAACAAAGTCAGAATTAGGGAAAATTTTTTGTTTACAAGGATAGCAGCTATTAACACTTTACCAAACTCCATAGTTATGCTTAATGTTCTTGGAAATCGGCCAGAAAAGGTTAATGTTTGTAATCCACAGTTGATGACAAACAACAAAAAAACGCGAAGTAATAACCAATACTGACGAAGCTTGTTACCTCGGTGATGAAGGAGAAATGTGCAGTTGAAGACCTAACAAAGTTGTTTCACCAATGCAATTTCTGAAATTAAAAAAGAAAACACCATGGACATGGATGAAGGGAAAACCGCTGTCTTTTGTAAGGAAAACACCTTAAAAACAGAGATGAAATGCTTTTTTGTTCCACCGACTTACCTCCCACAGCAACCAAACTTCGGCTAGAAAACGTGAGCTCACTGATGATGGTTTGCTTTCGGTTTCAGACCAGAAACAAGACGAGGTTGAACCCTATTTCGCACATCCATTCCCTTGCATGTTTCCTGTGACCGTGTGCAAATCTTGGTCTTTGGAAAGTTACGTATGTAAACAAGTCTGCAAATAGTGAAGCTACGATATTGTCCTTTCGCGCGCAAACAAGGGGTATGATGGTCTTTTTATTTAGTATGCACAGTGGGAAAATATGGTGCTTTTCAGCCAATCCACCTTGCAAAATGGAAAGTTTTGCCGACAATTTCGGTAGAAAAAGATGGGGAAATCGGTTAGGTAGCAAACATAGATAGGGGCCTAACTCACAAACCTATTTCAACCAAACGCTGCTTTCACACATTCCCACCAACCATTTATCTATCATTCTCACAAGATTCCTTAAACCAAACAGCCCCTTAGAGATATAGAAACCCAACATATTCAAATGGATATTGAAGTTTGTAGTTCTAAGCAGTTTTGATATTTGTAGTATTAATGTTTTCTGCATCTGGTTTCTGAAGGGTCCCTCTTTCTTGTATGAAGGGCTGTTAGGTAGGTGTCAAAATGGGTTAAAGTCCACGGATCAGTCCGCAAAGCATTATATTTGGCCCTAATCCATTAGGGTTTTTTTTTGTGGTAGGTCCTTTTTTAGCCCTAACCTTCACAGCCCTATAATTTAGCGGGCTGGGTTAGGGCTAAACCGCGGGCCAAACTTTTTTTTTATCAAAATTTTTATTATTTAAAAAACTAAAAATTATATAAATTTAAATATTAATAAATATAAGTAAAAATTATTGTGAATTTAATGGAGAATATAAGAGAAAGTGAAATATGAAAGAAAGGAAAATAAAGTGTAGAAAAAAATTAAAGAAAGAATAAAATAAGAATAAGTATAAGCAAAGAGTCCTACATAAGGACCTATCTTAGATGCATTTTTAAACATTGAAGTCATGAAAAAACCAAGAGTCACATGTTATGAACCATGTGAAAGGTCATTCATAATTCATGTGAAATGTCATCCATAATTCATGTGAAAGGTCATCCATAATCCATGTGAAAGGTCATCCATAATATTTTACAATACCCCTTTGGATGTATTCTACAATTCAACACCATTAGTGTGATGATTATAGAATATATCAAAGGTCATGAAAAACAAAAAAGTCAAATGTTATGAACCATGTGAAAGTTCATCAATAATATTTTACAACAAAAATAAATTTTTCAGTAATGATATATTTTAATAGAGATTTTCATCTGCGCATCAATAAAAATAAAATTTTCTATTGACATCTAAGCATGTTATACATACAAATTTGTTTTGAAACATATCGTATACAATGCACTTTAGTAATTTTATGGATAATAATAACTATTTTTTTTTGTAACGGTAGTAATTAAAGAAAATCAATTATTTTACTTTCAAGTATATAACATACTAAGAGCACTTATTCGATATTGGTATTAAGATAGTTTTTCTACCATTACTTTTAGTTTTCCACTATAATTGTTATATTCTGTTATGACTCCCGGTGAGAAAATCTTTATTTGATGACAATAGTGTAGCACCGATACCGACACGTGACACGATACAACACGACATTCTGACACGTTAATTCTAAAAAATGTTAGATTTTGACACGTTAGGACACGTTTTGATATTAAATAATATTTTTATTTTATGTAGTGTATATTATATTTAATATTCAATAATTTAACAAAAAATGAAACTAAACTTATAATATTAATCAATTTTGCAAAGAAACATAAGATATCCTAAATATTTATAACAAACTAAAAAAAATAGTAATCGTAATCCAACAAATCTAATAGTTGGAACTAAAAACTCAACGTAGCGCAACATTTGAACCTTTTTTTGAATTTCTATAACGCGTGTTGGAGTGTCCGAAAGTGTCGGACACGACACTTCAGAGTTTTTGAAGTGTTGGTGCTTCATACATGAGATCATTTAATAATGAATTTAATAAAAGTAGTAACTAAATTTTCACTTATATTAAAATTTTGTTTGCATTTTAACTTGTATATTTATGTACAAATCTTATTTTATTAAAAAACTAAATTATAAAAAATTTATAAATTTATAAAATATGTTAAGAAAATATTAAAAATTTATTTGTTAAAATATTTTTTAATGTACTGAATATGATAAAAAAATTATGAAATTATAATTTTGGATAGCACACGGACTGACCCTAACCGATAGGGCTTTTGGCCCGTGCGGACCTTGATTATTGAAGTTCATTTGACCCTATAGACTTTTTGGCCCTAATTATACTCAATAGTCTTCTTCCTTTATGAATATACTACTTTGGGCTAATTTTTTTGGGTAGTGGCATCACAGCTCCTGTGTTAAAATTCCTTGTCATTCATGTACTGAAATTAATTCATTTCAGGAGGTAGTATTTACAATTTGTTACAAGCGTGATAAACAGCATATATTGGAATTTGTGTTTTTGTTGAATTAAACCATAACTTTCAAATCGAGGTGGTGAAATTGACTCTCCAGTGTCCACCTATTTTTGTCTATTGGGCAAACTGGGATATTGTTTTGGATTTGATAACGTCAGAGATAACTAGAAGTTCATTACGTCTGTATAGAAGTGGTTGGAGGGAACATTAAACTGAAATAACATACCATGAGACTAGTTCAAACTGTTCTACCTAGAATGGGGTCGGATAAATTTGTTCAAATATAATCATGAAACTTGTTCAAACTGTTGTATCTTCAATATATCTGCTCAGTTAATGGTGCTATTTGCATCTTCCACGGAGTTTTCTATCCATGCTTCTAAACTAAAGTCCACATCGAACAGTGCACTAAGAAGAGCTAAAGTGCTTGTTGTATAAAATAAAAGAGCTTCTGTACCTTCAAAAGCACGGAGCCGTGTAATGAGAACAGAGCGAACTATTCTTTCGCCTTTTACTAAAGAATACCGTGTTCTCGTTACTATAAGCGGCATACGCCTATTTTTGGAAGAGTCTTCTTCATTGAGGACTCTGCAATGTTAGTTTAAATATCATTTAAAATCTTTTAATTTAAATATCTTTTAAAATCAATTCTATTGACATTAATTCCTGTAAATATAATTAAATTTACCTCATATTAGAAAAGGTTATTCTAAAGTAAACTTGAATCCACCTCATATTTAATTTCAATTATATTACACTTTTAATTATTTAAAAAGTAAAATTAAATATACTCTTAATTTATTTGAAAATAATTTCACTTTATATTAACTTTTTTCCTATCACATCGTATCTTATCCTGGAATTGCTACACAACACTAGACATTGCAAAGAAGAAACAAACTTTTGGGCCCAGAAAGCGCCAGGAATTAACGAAGGACTAGAATAAGCTGTATATGGGCCCATAATAATGGACGTTGGAAGGTGGCCCAAATTCACGAAACTAGGGTTCTTGGGATTTATAATAAGGCATCATCTCGCCTCCAAATTTCAACCTCCACGACTCTCATCTTCGTTCTTCGTTTCCTTCTGTGAGCTTTGCTTTCTCTCTAAGCGATTTGTGTTACCTTTTTCTTATTTATTTTTTTTGTTGATGATATATAGTGTTTATAGATACTTAATTGTATTCTGATTCAGGTATTTAGATCTTAGTCAAGGAGGTTTATAACACTCACAAAAAAAAGATGCAGAACGATGAAGGACAGATCACAGAGCTTTACATTCCTAGGAAGTGGTATGCAGTTTAATCTCGTTATCCTTTTCTTTTTGGAAAATTGTGGTCGTTTTTTTTTTTTTTTTTTTGAGTTTTAGAATTTGAAGTGATTTGCGAATTTGGTGCAGCTCTGCTACAAACAGATTGATAACTTCAAAGGATCACGCCTCGGTTCAGATTAACATTGGGCATTTGGATGAGAGTGGAATTTACAATGGCCATTTCTCCACTTTCGCCCTCTGTGGCTACATCCGTGCACAGGTATCTCTATATATTTTTTCACTACTTTGGGAATTTCATTATTGTTTGCGTTACTTGATTTGTGCCTTACCAGTAGTCTTGTGAAAATTACTGAAGTAATTATTTTGCCCTTTTATTATGTACTTGTTGATTTAGGGCAGTACTCATGCTTGTAGCTTCGTATTCCCCTATTTGTTTGTTTCTGTGGTTGATAAACTATATATTAAATTAAAGGGTTTTATAATTCTCATGTAATATGTCTACACACCTTCGTATGATTTTTTTTTGTCTCTGGCATAAGAATTCACTTTTCATCTAACATCATAATTATAAAACCCTAAATTAAACACCTGGCCAGCTAAGCAAATTGTGCATTTGTTTTTTCTGATTTGTTTGTTTGATGTTAAATTGCTGTTGGACTAGCTGTTTGCTTATGTTGCATAAACACTGTTGATTGTCATTACATGGTCTTTCAAAAAAAATTTGAATTAGCAACAAACTAAATTGGTTGACTCTGTTTATTACCTGTCTACTTGCTTTTTTCTTCTTGTTTTTTTTTTATACTTCTTTTGGTTGGTTGGGGATTTGGAATCATATAGTTTTCTTCTTTGTTTTTGTATTTCATGTCATTCCAAATGCCTTATATTTCTTTCTTTAAATTTGTAATGAAGCAGAGATGATTAATATGATTAACACTCTTGAGAAGATTTTGGGGTTTCTGCTAGTTAGTTTTCCCTTCACCCGTACCCTGGGTAGTAGTTTTTTATTATATTCTGCCCCCTTAATGGGGAGTGTTTTTTTTTTCTCCCTGATCCCTGTCGTCCTGGAACGTGCACTGATATCCTGTGGATGCAGATTTATAATTTACTTTTGAGGATTGGATTTCTTAGGTCATGATTTCATGTTCTTGTTTTTCATTTCCAGGGAGATGCTGACAGTGCACTTGATCGCTTGTGGCAGAAGAAGAAAGTTGAAGCTAAGCAACAGTAGATGTGCGTGATAGGTTGTTATGTGTTAAGTTTTATTCTTGCTAGAGATATTTGAGTATTATGATCTACATTTTGCAATACTTCTTTTGAATTTCGTTTGGTGCCTCCTTCAAGCAAAGTTGTTTTTGGCTGTTTGATGACAGTTCTTTGATAAGTATTTGGTTGTTTCCGTAGATTTATGTTAACAGTGATCTTTTGTAAGGTTTGTTTTAACAGCCCAAAGGAATGTATGTTGCTCAAGTTAGTGCTGCTATTGTCCATATGTGATGGATGATGCCGTGGCATATTTAAATTCCTATAGAAAATGGAGTGCTAATTTCCTTTGGACTGTGTTTGGACAAGGCACTTGAATTGAGTTATGTAGTTTTTGAATGTATTTAAAATCCACTCGTAAATTTTTTTTTTTTTGGATATTAAAATAGGGATAGGTTATTTTATGTATTTTTTTTCATGCTTATTTTGTCTTCCAATTTCTAATACTCTTATATTAGAATCTCAATAGAAGAGAGAAATGGTAAAGGTTAATGGAGATTTTGATCTAATGATGTTGAAAAGTGCTAGACAAAGTAGGTATGAAAAAAAGTAAGTAGAATAATTTATTATAAAATACAATTTAGGGATAAAAAAAGATAGGTAGAATAATTTATTCCAAATACAATTTAAAAGTGATAGAAAAGTAGTAAAGATAGAAAAATTAAATAGGTAGGAAATATAACAATCTCTAAATAAATATAGCAAAACTATTTAAATGTGTTGATAGCGGAAAAAGGGCACATGGGCTAAGTTGTTTGAAAACATTCCACTGCTTAAGGTTCAGCCATCCCTACAATGGTGTCCGTTAGGGGATCCACTTACTAATTGAAATTAATGGTGATTGGTCTTGGAGGTCCAGAATTCTAATGCAATGGCACATGCATGATCAATGCCAAAGCAGCAACCACTGACTATATGCTACGCTTACGATAAATTTGCAGACCAAAGCATCACTCAGCATAAAGCTACGGATGCAGGGTTTTTAAAAATGTTGAGAAGGTCGTATACAAAGAGTTTTTAGTGATTGCATTACAGCTAAATGGAAGTATAAATAATTTATCGGAAATACTATTCTTCTGCCGCAGAAGAATGAATAGTATTTCCCTTTGAGAGGTTAAAAGTTGAGTTTCTGTTCTTTTCATTTTTTTGTTTTAAAAAATAAGGGGGTCCACTAATATTTGTGTGTATAGAAAAACTAACTTACCAACTGTCATATAAGAAAATTAAACCCCATAATTTATTCCAACTAATAATAATAATAATAATAATAATTGGAGTGAGTAGTATAAATAATAATAATAATAAAAACATTAACCATATCGTATGATTTACTTCCAACTTTACTATTGAGATTATCATCATCTAACGATTTTGGAGATTGATTTACAAGGTAAGCATGAAAAAAATGTAAGTAAAATAATTTATTTCATTGTATTTAAGATCGTTGAATTAAATTTCATCTAACAGTAATAAAAAGGTAGCGAGGGTAAAAAGATTAAATAAGCAGGTAATATAACCGTCCGTTATTTATAATGCAAATGAAAATTTAATTTCCTTTTATTTCAAATTCCATGAAATTTAGAATACCTCATCCAATCACAACATTAGGATTCATTTGGATGACACGATTAGAATTACGTTTTAGAACTTTAAATTTAACTGTAATTATGTTAGAATTGGAATTGGCTAAGAATTTCAGTTTTTTTTATCTGTATTACCAGTTACTATTTTGTATTATAATTTTTAAAATATAAGGTAATTTTATGGCATTGGACTTAAAATCGCTTAGGTTGATTTTGTGTTTGAATTATATATATAAAATACTTACATGACATTGGACCTCAAATGCTATATATATATATATATATATATGAAAAAATATTTCTGCAGTTATGGTAGATAAGTTATCTGCATTTACTTTCAAAACGACGTCGTTTTGGAATTAAAAGATTAAAAAATTATAATTATAAAGACTATTATAACCTTGAAATAAATTAAAATTACAAAAACACCATGTAAGTTATCTGCAGTTACTGGAGATAACTATATCTGCAGTAAGCCCAATACGATGTCGTAAAATGCAGATAACTATATCTGCAGTAAGCCCAATACGATGTCGTAAGTTATCTGCAGTAAGTCCAATACGACGTTGTTTTGGAGCGAAAATCATGGTGTTTTTGTAATTTTAATTTATTTCAGGTTATAATAATCTTTATAATTATAATTTTTTAATTTTTTAATTCCAAAACGACGTCGTTTTGAAAGTAAATGCAGATAACTTATCTGCAGAAATATTTTCTGATATATATATATATATATATATATATATATATATATATATTAAATTTAAACATTCTCGCTGAATAAAATACAAATTCTAAAACATAATCCAAGCTCAGGGAAACGGGATTGATGAAATAGTAATTTCACTACAACGCTTGAGTTTCCTATCATGAACTGCCCCTCTAATCAGCGTCGCCACAATAATGACTTAGTGCTAATTGACTCAGTTCGTAAGCTTAAGATATTTACTTACAATTCCAGTCCAAAACCAAGATTACTTATAATCGTAAGCTAAAAACTTTTCCAATTTTAAAACCGTTAAATCAGTATTACAGAGCTGAATATCCAGTTCATCTGCTGGTACAGATACCATCAAGCAGAATTCATACAAGAATTTTAATAAACTCGGAGAAATTATTTTAGCAAAAAACTTATTGAAATTTATAAAAAGATAAGAACATAATATATTCACACACAAGAAAAACATTTTATGCAATTACGATATACTATATAAATTATTTTTGATACTTTTATAAACGTCTCATCTTTTTATTGATTAAATAATAGCAAAAAGGATAAATAAGATGATAGATGTAATGCTATCATTGTTGTTAAAATCTCGATTTATCAGTACGATTTTATGATTTTTTTCATCAAAACGATTTTATTAATATTTCAAACGTTTTTACGTTTTTACGATTTTTTTACGTTACAATTTTATGTTCTACGATTTTTTAATCTCCATCCGATTTTACTTAAGATCTCAATTTTAGCAACATTGAATGCTACCTCATCACGAGATATTTTTTTGCTGCTACATGAGTTTTTCTTTTTTTTCCAACCATTAAGTATGCATCACATCAATTATACAATTAAAATATAGTTAATGAAAGAAGTGATTACTCGTCTAACATTTAAAATATAGTAAAATATTGTCTACCAAAAAAGAAGAAGTAAAATATCTACTGAAAAAGTATAGTAAAATAGAGGACAGTGATGCCTAGAATATTTGATGCAGTATATATATAATGGACAGAATAAAATATTTCTCTTACTTTAAGAACATACCGTGTCGTTATTTGCTTTTTAGTTTTTGTTATTTGTTGGCGTAATCCTTGAAAATAAATAATTCCACCGATATATAATTAATCATTATATTCTTTCCTGTTTTATCCAAAAAATAATAATTAATCATTATAAAATAAATAAATAAAATTCACCATAACTAGGTTGCAGCACTTGAAAGGAATAAAATTTAGTGTTTAGGGCGGAGTAATTTTTTTTTTGACAAATGTTTAGTAGTTTTACTGGGTCTACCAGTGCCTACAAGTAAATAAAACATGTTATTATTATTTTTCTGAATGGTAGAATCGTGTCTCCCCAAACAGAATGGATGGTAGAGTTTTGCACCTTTGTCCAAACCATTTTCATGGGTTATACCTACCAAAAATGTTTGGTTACCATGTGGTCAACGTAAATCTGCATGTATAATTTGGGGACTCTTCTTTTCTGTTTACCGTATGTCTCTACTCTCTACTGTTCAAGTAACACCAATGGCAGAGTCAAATTTTTTTTTTTAAGGGGTGAAATTATAATATAATACTTTTATAATTACAACTATTTATAAATAATATAATAAAAAATGAGAAAAATAGGTATCATTTAGAGAACACAAAATTATATCATTCCAAGTAAGAGAAAATGATCGATAATAGGAGAGACAGCGAATGAAAATTTTTTTAAAAATGTGAGCCTCACATATTTGTGAGAGTAAAAGGACATAAGATGTGTCATTTAAAATGACACGTCTTTTTTTCTTAAAAATAAAATAAAATATTTCTATTAATTTGGAAGGGGATAAACTTCAGATATATAATTAAAAAATTAAAAAATGATGCTCAATTTTAAATGTTTATAGGGAGGACGATTATTGTTTTAACTATATCCTCGCCTCTAGTGAGTAACATTATGCACCACATGTTAGCACCTGTTTGGTGTGACGTATAAGGTATGATAGTATAAGCTTATACTATATATTATGACATTTTCTGTTGTTTGGTGTGACCATCGTATAGTATAAGCTTATACAGCATAATCCCTTAATACATCAAAATGATGTTAACTTAATCCGGCCTAAGGGTGAGTGATAAGGCCTGATAAGAGATTGATATATTAACATCGTTGACCAATGTAATTCTCAAAAATTAATATATTATTTTAGTATTAATCTATTAAAATAAAAATAAATTTTTTCAATATACTAATTTTTAAAATATTGAATATTTTTATTTTTATAAAAATTAATTCATATTTTTGACACTCTGATCAATAAATTTTTATAAAAATCAATATCATATGATATTTTTTTAAGAATTATATAAATTTTTTATTAAAGGATATTAATATTTATTTTTATCATATATAGTATTATACAGTGCATTACCAAATACTAGATGATATTATCTTATACAATATATTATTTTATACAATACCGTGCCAAACGCTGGATAGTATTAAAATTCAATCAGGTCTTAGACAATCAAGCCTTATATTATCAGGTTTTATACTATCAGACCTTATCCTATACTATGCACCAAACATGTAAAATTTTGATCATCATAATATTCAAAGTGTTTATACATTGTTTCAGCACTTCAATCATAGTTGTAAATAATTCAAATCAATAAACAATGACAGAACAAAAATAAATAAATATTGAGAATGTAGGTCTGCGCCCGTGTATAAAGAATAAGCAAGCTGCTTTTATATATATATATATAGAAATATTTCTGCAATTAATGCAGATAAGTTATCTGCATTTGCTTTCAAAACGACGTCGTTTTGGGATTGAAAGATTAAAAATATAATTATAAAGACTATAATAACCCTCAAAGAAATTAAAATTACAAAAACACCATGATTTTCGCCACAAAATGACGACGTATTGGGCTTATTGCAGATAACTTATCTGCAGTAACTATATATGAGGAATGTTATACTTACAATTTTTTTTTACAACCATATCTTAACACTGTTGATTTTCGTCAATCAACGGTTATCATTTATTGTGAATT